AACCAAGTTGACAGAGAAACTCTGTGCCTCCACCCCTCCAGAGCAGCACAGGCAGGCGGATGCACAAGAACAGATCTAGTTATTTCTGCTCCTCGCAAAATTTGGTGCTGAATTTTTTTACAAAGCACATTGCTAGCATTGCGAATATTATACAGACCATTAATTGGAAACCAAACTAGATAGGAGATTTTATATTGCTAGTCAGTGACTCACAGACTTGGAGGGGAAAGAGGATTTCATTATCAGCTGAGCATGAGCTCACGGTATGTTATTGATGCTAAAAAGACTACTGCAGTCTTTGCAAAGCACATGCACATAGAAATACTGAGTGGGAGTGGGGAGGTGACATAATCTCTGTACTTGTCACCAGTACATTGTTATTAAAATAACAAACTGCTCAGGAGAGCCATCCAAAAACTGTAAGGGTTCAGAAAAGATTTGGGAAAATGACCAAACAGTTGGAAAAAAAAGGTGTTGCAATGTGATACCCAGCCATCAGTTTGCTTATTTTGCCATTTATTTTAATTGTGAGCAATTGGAATAGTCTATAAAAAAATACTATAAATGTCAGATATTATAATCACAAGGTGACAGTCGTGGAATAAACCTCCATCTTTGTTCTTACCCTTGTTATAGTAGGAGGGCATTTAAAGTGACCGCCAAGGTTTGTATTTAAATAGTGACTGTGTGGCCTCCATCTAGCAAACAACCATCAGAACCTCTGTCCCAATCAATTTGTTTGTGTACTGAGCTTAGCTGTAGCCTGGCTCTGCTCCGTCATCATCTATGCTTTTCCTGCCACTTCCTTTGTCCATTTTGATACCCTGCTTGGCATCAGTTACACCAGCCCTTGTCTTTTCCACATTTTAAATACACCTTTAATGTTTTTTACTCAGTTTCTCTCTAGTTCTTTGCAGGATGCATGTAGCTCAAGAAGTGACTTCTCCCAGTGAGCTGGCCATTTGCTGTACAGGTATTGCAGCCACATCACTGTATTTTAATGCATGTTGGAGAGGTGACATGAAGCTATAAACCAGGAGTCAGGTTCCCTTGTCACAGTGTTGTAAGTGAAGTATAATGAGGATGCTGAGGAGCGAGGACTGCTAAGGCCAGGTTAGTAGCAAAGCATGCTTTTATACAGGTAATGCTAACAGCAGTGAAAGAGTCTCAATCCAAAGAAAGAAAAAAGATCCTGAGAGGCAGGTAAAGTTATAGGTTACCAGCCTGTTACCCCCTGATGCAGCAGCTCTGGACAAAGGCAGCTTTGTTGGGCCATGCTGCATGTACTAATGTACTTCCAGTGCAACCATTTGATATTTCTTGTGGGCACACTCAGTATTCACTGAGCTATGAATATTGTTTTCCAATGAATGTTAGACCTCCTGAGATTTCATTGTGTTTATGTCTTGGAAGCAGTGCTGTGCAATGTGTTGCTTACTTCTGCCTTACATATTACAGCCATATGTTTTGGGATGTGTTTTGGTTTTGGAGAGGTCTGAACATGTCAATAAACATTTTACTGAATTTATTGAAGAGCCTTGTTAAGAACTGTACTGAATGGAAAAAATTGCTTATGCCTGCTCTGATTGTTCATTGGTTTCCTAGTTTATTTCCCTTTGAGACTAAAATTCAACTTATAACTTGTGGTGCATAAGCAGAGCACTTTACTCATAAGCATCCCATATCCCATTGGCAAGTTTTCCATAGTCTGCCATTTTTAAGGGCTGATCTCATGGTGGATGAGGGAAAGGGACGGAAGGAAAGTCCTGCCAAGATGACGACTGTATTGGAGTCACTGTTTGGGTGCTCAGCAGCTGAATGTTTATCTCAAACATGGAGATATTGAGGGATAATGCTGTAAGAGGAAGGGTGAATCTAGTGGGTAAATCACTACAAAACATGCAGTCTAGCAAGGAAAGTTTTGCTATGAAGTTACCAGTACAAATGTGCTGAGAGAATCTGCAACTTCAAGCAAAGGAGAGTATAACTCCAAAACTCACATCTGTTCAATCTGTTGCAATCCAGCATTGAGAATGAAAACAGATGTCACATCTGCCGGTAGGTAATGCCAATCATTTTGTATCATCAATGCTACATTTTCCTATCTTGTTTGTAGTCCTGGTGTGTCTGGAGGACTGAAAGATGGTTGTCAACACAGACTAGCTATGAGTGTCCAACTCTGCTTGTAAATTCTTGCAAAACATTTGTTTATGGGATAAGTTTCTTGTTTATTGATATTTGTCCTTTAGGTCTGTGCTGACATCCCATTGACAGGTTTCTAGAAGTTCTGGTCTAAGTTCTCAATTCCCTGCTAGGTCACACTCAAATCCTTGATCTTTATACATTGCTGGATGGCTTCCATTCTGTAAACCCACTCTGCCCCCAGTGTATCATGATCGTCTATAGTATATGAAGACTGCATGTACCTTTTTCTCTCTCTGGCAGTTGAATTAGTCCAGGAAAGCACCTTCAGTTCAGCTGGAAATGTGACAAGTATGACATAGGAACAGCTGGAAAAACTGCAGACAGTTCCAGAAAGGCCTGCAGACTTTCTGTGCAAACTTCACAACTTCGGATTTTGCTTAAATACTGGCATATAGACAGAAAGGGATTCAGTCATTATCAGTCTGCAGTAATTATTTACGTACAAATAGAGAGATGGCTCCTAAGGATGCTGCATCAAACAGCATGCAAGGCAGACATTTTAAAGAACATTATTAGAGTATTACTGCCAATTGCTATCTGTCTTCATTTACACACTCATGAGTATAATTTGTTATGGAAATGACCATGACATCAGTACTATCTGTAGTTTGCCAATACCCATGCCTCAGATACCAGTAACCTTCCCAACTATACATTTTCAGTATATATTGTGAGTACTTGATCTTTTAGCATTATATGATGTCTAGAAGCCTTCACTGTACAGCAATACAATACCCTCCACTATTGTTTCATGCAGATCACATCAAAACTGTCACAGAAATCAGCGATGGTTTCAGGTACACTGATAAGCAGTACATCACAGAGAAGCATTAATTTGAATTAGGGGATTTGTAAAGTAGCAAGGCATCACCCTAGCAAAAGTTCAGATCTGTCTAGATAGAGCACCTAGCTGATACACTAAAGATGTGTATCTGGGTAGCCTGCTCAGCTTTCGAATACCGCTGTGTGTGTGGGCTGCCCAGCTTTACCTGAGCTGACATGGCATATAGGCAAATGAGTCTTCACCATGTCTTGTTTCTTCCTAGGTTGGCCACAATGTCCTTGGGTTTGTATGTGCCCTCTGTACTCCACAGAGCTGACAGTGATCCATCTCCACATAGTGTCCTTCTTGGCTTACTCACTGTTCCTTCCATTTCTGTTTGCGTGTCCTGAGGTGCTGCATGTAGATGTATTCTGGGAGCTTGATGATCTGCTAGTTGACATGCTGTCAGCACGTCAGTCATATAGTGCCTCCCCTGCCACCTCAAGCCCCATTCCCACTCAGTTTCAGTTCAAACCAGCAGTGAGTGCATCAGTGTTTCTACTGCAATTCTTGATAGAAGATGCAGCTAGAGACTTTTGGCCAACAGCTCTGTCTGTCCTGACCACCTCTATTCACTGCAGATATTCCTAAAGTCCCAGTTTGTCACCTTTCATAATCAATCTAAACAATCCCAGTTCCCTCAGCTGCTCCTCATAAGACTTGTGCTCCAGACCCTTCACAGCTCTGTTGCCCTTCTCTGGACATGCTCCAGGGCCTCAATGTCTTTCTTGTAGAGAAGGTCCCAAAATGGAACACAGTTCTCAAGGTGTGGCCTCACAAGTGGTGAATACAGAAGGTATGCAGGGTGTGAGTACAGCAACTGGAGTCAGACCCTGAGTCAGAGGTCCTGTGCGTTTGTGAAACAGCAACTGGTGAGACGATAGACAGAAGGGAAAAACAAAGCAGCTGCAATTGGTGTGACCACAGAGTCACAGTAAGTGGCCACTGGTGAAGATCAAGCTGGACCAGCTGGTAGAGAAAGCCTGGGAGAAGAGCAGAAATACACGTGGGGCTCACTGCTGTAATTTCTCATTTCCTTCCTTTGGTTGAACTTGCAATTTATACAACTGACCAAAAACTACTGCACAGCAAGACTGCTAGTGTATTAGTTTCTTATAATTTAAACTCATAAGGCTGAGGTGGAGCCTGGGTTGGGCTAGGAGGTTTGAGGAACAACAGGGAAGGCTGTAGAAAACATGCAAAACATGCATGGAAATAGTGTTACACTACATTTTCTCATTGGCATTATCCTACTAAATTAAAAGAAGTTACACAAAGAAGGAATATGCCCTGTGAATACAGTTCTGAACAAAAAGACCTTAAAATACTCATTTTAGATTGGCTATCATGCAGAAGTTTTTTGTAACATTGTCTAGTTCCTATTTCGTCTGCTTTTCTGTGATGAGAATTTTCTGTTCATTTGTTATCAGTGGAATTGTTTTTCCTTCTCCAAGGAGAAAACTGTCATTAAACCACTTAAATCATATTAAAGGCTCATGTTTTATTTTTGACAGTGATGCAAGCAGACTACAAGAGAGATGCTAGCATATTTTACCTGTTTTTCTGGAGAAAGTTTTGCTCCCACAGCTGTATAATTCTTAGATGTCAATTAGTTAGTTTAAATTATTTTTGTATATGTAGTAGTTCTGTAGAACTGCTCAATCATTTTGATTGACAGGACTCAGAAAGTGTCTCTGTTCAAATGAATTGATCTTAACACTGCATAATATATATTAGCAATAATGTTTTGACCACGGAACATAAGCAACTGTGTACTCTTGACAGAGACTTCTTTTGAATAATATCTGCTTATCTTTAATATCTTTTGCAAAATGTCTTGCTCTCTGTGTGGATTTTGTGGTAGCTGTCTTGCATTCCTAAATCGAAACCTGCCAGGCTCCCAAACCAGCTCGCTGGCTGTTTCACCAAATACACGGGCTGACTTGGTTATAGCACTTAAAAGTTGTCTGAGAAAGGTAGAAAAGTGAAGCTGAAACAGAATTCTGCATCGCTTTTCTTTATGAGAAAAGATTTTGTCTTTCTTCTCAGTATTGTATTTGAGACAAATGTTTATCCGTTATTTATAGTCAGTGTGCTTGCATATCACAACAGGCTGCAGGAACGTTCGTTCCCTGGGCTAATCTTAATCTTCAGTTTACTCTTCCAACTGAATGCTTCTGATGTGAGGCTTCTTGACAGGAAGCATGACCTCATTCTGCCTCTGTGCTTCTGATTGCATGGGCTGTTTTCAAAAGGAAACAAGGGACTTCACAGCCCTGCCCTTCCAAAAACTCAGTGCAGTTCTGCTCCAGGAAGCTGCAGAAAGAACACCCTACACACACGTCTCAAAGGCTCTGGTGTTGATGAGAAACTTTTTGACATACATTTTTTCATTGTGAAATGGATTTTCCAGGTTTGGAAGATTTTACATATATTTATCTCTTAGCTGAGAAATGATTAACCTTTGAATTATTGATATTCTGCTCTTCAGGAAGGTTTGCATTTTTTCTGGATGTTGTTGTCATTATTACCTGAAGGGAGAAAAGATATGAAAACTCTTCAATACTGACTGATATGTGTGAATAAATAAAAATATTTTTGTAGACACTTTTATTTGGTAGGTACTATAGAATAAATCTGGTTGCCTAGGGTTCAACTATTGTAATAGTTAGACCTGTATTTTAATACTAATGTAAATATTTACAATGCATACATGCACAAGTTACTGTTAGCTATCAATTGAGGTTGTCATTGTGTAAAGGATTAACTTAATTTGGGGAGGGAAAGTTCTGGTTTACACAGTGACTTTTTCTTTATATTATGACACAAGTTTCCAGGTGTTCTGATATGAAGAGGAGGCTGCCTTAAACTCTGAATTGAATTCTTGTCATAAAGCATTGCCATGTTTATCTTAAATTCAATTTTATTGAGATTTCTTTGAGTGGTTGGACTTCTCTCATGCCATAGTTAAAGTTCTGTATTGATGCTCATTTTGTGGTTTACATATATGTCTGATTAAATGCACAGTGGTGGTTCAGAAGCTTTGTTTTGGCTTGCTTATTATTGTTACTATTGCTTCTCACACTATTAATAGCTCTCAAATGGAACTGAATATTAAATGCAACAAGAACACGGTGCAGCATTGTCTGCAACATGATGCTTACAAGTCTTCTCCAGCATTGAATTAAAACTTTGAAGAACCCTCTTCATTAATGCATAAGCCAAGAATTGTCGTTAGAGAGTTTGGAGGAGCAATCTGTTGGACTGCTTGTTACATGCCTGTTTACAGAAGTCTGGCCTTACTATTACTTAAAATAGCTTAAAAGCAAATTACAACTGCTCAGAAACTTCTTAGAAAGAGAGAAATTCTTCATCTCTCCAGTCATATATTTATATATGTGGAGATCTCACTTCCCATTTTAACATGTGTACATACTCTGTTTTATCTGAAGTATTACTTCTGTGAAGACTGGCAGATAAACAAGAGCCCTGTGGAGACAGACCTCATGTACCTCACGACTTTATGAGGCACTTCAAACTAGCAGCAGATGGACTATAGTTTGTTCTGTCACTTTGTTCAGTTTGTGTCAATACTTTTTAATGACAGCACTGTCCATATGTAAGCCACTATTCTGAAGAGTTGGTCTTTGTTAGTGGTTGCTGCTTTGCTGCTTTGCAATAACATAACCAGGGGAGTAAAGTGCAATACAGCGACGACACAAGTTTCAATAGCTGGAAAGAAGTTTAACTCTCAGTTTATTAAAGAACTGAAATAGATTTAATTGATGCAGAGGTATTCCTTCCTACTCCTTTTCAAACAAATTTGCCCTAGAGCCAATCACTTTTGTCTAAGCTACAACATTCAGTGGTGTATTGTAACTAATACTGTGTTATATATTCATGTTAATACTTGACACTTCCCAATTTTAAAATCTTGCAAAATCAATCATACCTCCCTTTTTTTTTTTAACTCTTTTACAGGCAATCCACATTACCTGTTGTCCTGAGTGTATGAACCAGTCCTTTTCAAGATGTATGGAGTGTCACATGTTACATCAACACCACGAGGAAGTAAATTTGTGCACATTTGTCTGGGCTTTTGATAAAAACACTTTGGTGTGGAAGGATCCGGGGTGGCTGACAAAACCTGGGTTTAGATCTGCTAACCACCTGTTGAGTTTTTCCTGCATTTTCATTTAGTCTTCAGATAAACCTCTTTTTTTGACTGTAACATTTTTGCGTAATTGAAAATCATAATTGTATGCATGAGTTTGCCTGCAGTAAGAAAAAATCTTTCAGGAGCTAATTGTGTATGAAACATAGGTCTACAACATGTCAGTCAGGGAAACACACAATGCCTATCTTTTGGGCAGTCTGTTGTGTGACATTCTGGCTGATGCTGCTTGACATCTTGTACCTCCAGTCCAGATCGTTTTTGCCTGGAGAAAAATATAGAGCATCTTTGGTTTTTTTCCCCACTAGAAAGTGAAATATGTATTTTTGGAATGTTGAAGAAACAGTATGTATGGGAATAGCATAATAGTGCTAGTTTGCAAAAAATACCTCAGCAAGTTTTAATTCTCTCTTTGGCAACTCTGCTGGGCCCCAAGGCTCAATCTCCAGGCAGTGCCTGGCAAGTGAGCTCCGAATGAGGGTAAACAAGACTACCAAAGTGGGAATGCTGACCTTTATGCATTTTCTTTGCCTCAGCTCATGCTTCAACATTTAAAAAAAATCCTGTCATTCACCTATCTGCTCTCACAGGGGAATGACAGGCATTTACTATCAGCATGATACTCTAAAGATACCAGAGAGATGAGAAAAGATCATATCATCTATAATTCTATGTAGCAACAGATATAAATCTGTTATAAATATATCTCTCTGGTTAGCCAATTGCTCATATTTTTGTAAGATTGACTCTGACAGCTGCTGAACATCTGGCAGCATTTTGCAAACTTGAGCCATGGTAATCCAGACAAATCATATTTATTTCCTTAGTCTCCTGCCACAAAGTTAGCGTCAGTTTTTGTCACTGTCTCTATCCCTATGCCTATTGTGGCATGTCAGCAAATTTTATCTGAAAAAATGACAAAATGAAATACCTTAATGATAATGGTGGTCCTTCCATTCCACTCTGTAGCTATAACAAGTATGTGCACTATTTTCAGCATAAACCAGATTTCTGGGCAAACACCATTAAAATTACTGTAGCTATTGCTTTTGTACCAATAATTATATATTCCAAGGTAATAACCTATACAGATATTTGACTGTGGCTGGCTCTGATTCTGTGCTGTCCTGATTGAGGTGATATTAAACAATCCTGCCAGAATCACTGTGTGTTTCCTCCTTCCTCTCCTCTTTTATTTTTCTCTTCCTATTCTTTTGTTTATCTTATTTATTGTCTTTTGATTTCCACAAGGTACCTGTCAATGAAGACCTGTCAACTGTGGTAGTAGTATGATAATGACTCTTTCTTATTTGGCCTCTGTAGGTTCAAAAGCATTTGATGGAGAACACAGACACAGCCTCTCAGAACATATTTATCAAAGGTATTGAAGAAAATTATACTTGTTTAATATTACTTTTATTTCATTTGAGGTTTTATAGAGTTTCTAGAGATGAAGTGCTGAAACTAGTTTATGAAGTATTTCTATGGCGAGTTAAAAGCACTAGCTTTGCAATTATGAGGTTTTGGAATATCTCTCTTCCATCTTCTCTCCCCCCCACTGAAATCATGGTACCCCTTCATGACATGCTGTACGGGATTCTGAAACCTGCTACTGAAACCCATTTTCAAGCACTGAAATCAATCCAGTGTCTTCCTAGTTTTTTGTGAATATCACTGCTGCTTGGAACTCAAAGATGTTGAGAAGAAAGAAGTCATCAGAAGTGATTACTTGATTGTAACAGTAGCTCCACAGCAAAATACTAGAATATTTGTGATGGCACCATGCTGGGGTAAGCGTGGCAGATCTCCTTGGTGAAAAGCACTGCCACAGAAATGCACCATGCACTTCTCAAGTCAAGCTGTCTTAGTGCATTCATGAAAATGCTGCACCTGTTGTGAAACCCTCCTGTAGTCTGATGCTCTGGAAAGTGTGATGCAGACACACTGTGGTTGGCTGAAACCTCCTAGGCATTATCTGCATATTTTAAATCCACGTCTCTGCCAGCTCCCGTTAACTGAGTCAATGACATATGTACATTTATTATCATTAAATCATGGTCTTGTATGTCTAGACATCCACTGAATCAGAGGTTTTTCCTTCTCTCCTCCTCAGTTATGCTTGCACCTTTCTCGATGATGGCACTGCCTACAGGTGCTGTTTCACAAGCCCTTCAAGAGGCTCCCTCTTCACATGTCGCCGCAGCCCTCGGCTGCTTTCCAATGGTTATTACATTTTGACAGAAGACAGCTTTCTGTCTGATGAAGATGGCAACATAACACTGTCACCATCCCAGACAAGCGTTACCTATAAAGAGAACTTAGTTCGGTAAGCAGACTACTTGCAGATTTTACTCCATGCTGGTGATAGCTCAATATCTCTGGACGTATTGGAAGATACCTTTATGGCTGCCTGCATTTAAGTTGGCTTAAGATAATTTCTTATTTTTTCTTTTTTCATGTATATCATAAAAGCATATAATGGCATAGGTTGGAAAAAACCTTAAAGATAATTTGTTTTTAACCCCCTGCCATGGGCTGGGTTGCCACCCACTAGATCAGGCTGCCCAATTCAACCTGGCATTGAAACAACTCCAGCAATGGGGCGTACAGAACTTCTTTGGGCAACCTGTTCCAGTGCCTCACCACTCTCTGAGTAAATAATTTCTTCCTACCATCTAGCCTAGATGTCTCCTCTTTTAGTTTAAGGCCATTTCCCCTTGTCCTATCACTATCAGACCATGTAAAAAATAGGTCTCCCTCCTGCTTGTAAGCTCCCTTCAAATACTGGAAGGTTGCAGTGAGGTCTCCCCAGAGCCTTCTCTTCTCCAAGCTCATCTCCCTCAGCCTTTCTTTATAAAAGAGGTGCTCCAGCCTTCTGATTATCTTTGTGGCTCTCTTCTGGTCCCATTCCAACAGTTCCACATCCTTTCTGTGCTCAGGGAGTTGTCTCTTCATAAGAATATCTAAACAGATTTAATTTTTAATTAAAATCACTTGATTTGCAGTCATACTGCCCCAAAACTGTGCAGTACACAGTTGCTATAATTGGAGTTGAAAATGAGAGCTACAACTCATTTTGCCAATGGGATTTTATCAAGATAAGGAATAAAAAGATAAGTGTTAAAAGAAAAGTTTGGAACTGCCTTTGTTGGAGAAAACTTTCTCCTGAATTCAGAAAAAGCATTGGTTTAGAATGGGATATAGCATATTGTTCAAAAAAGTACAAGAACAGTGGATCCAGGCTATGTCGCTTTAGTATATGGTAGGATGAAACTTGTGGGGAACATAAGACCCTATACTCTGAGCAGTATTAAAGTCTGTCAAATGAAGTGTCATTTAGTACCACAATATGAAGCATCACAATATCCTGATGCATTACTGCGCTGTTACTACGTCCCCTGACATTACTGCAGTGTGCAGTAGTACCCTGGTGGTATTGCCAGCAGAGCTGGGAACAGTACCGAGAACCTGGTTGTTCCATTTCAGTTCTACAAGCTTTTGACCTCTGCTCCTGCTTGTTAAGAATAAGTAAGTCTATCCCTCACCAATGAGCCTTTTCTTTCTAGGATATTCCGTCGAAGGAAGAAAATACGACGCTCTCTTACCAGCTTGTTCAGTCTCAGTGCCTCCGGCCAGTGGCTCAGCAGCACTATTCTCAACACTATGGTTTCCTCCCATGTAGACGATCCTTGGCCTGACAAATGCAGTGAACTACAGGCCAGTCAGACTGATACTGGTAAGCTCTGACCATGTACAAAGTAATCTAACCACGTTATAATCTGTATTTAGCAGGAAATGATATCTCCTGTAGGTTTTGTTTGGATTGTCTGCCAAAATGTGCAGGTAAAGGATACGTGAGCAATCAAATTATGGTGAACTGAGCTCCTGGCGTTAAAATTCAGAGACTGTGATTCCATAAGGATTTTTGTGGCAAAAGGGCATTTATAGACTGAGTTTGAACACAGAGACATCACCAGTGACATTTGCCCTGCAGTCATTCATATCTGGCTAAGGTTGCTTACACCTGGTTATTTTAATATCATTGTGTTATGCTCTACGTAGTTCTGTCTTTGCTCTGCTTATTTTCTGCTGCATACACTGAACTTGCCATTCCTGCCCCTAACAATTTGAAAACCTTCCCACAATTGTTGTTGTTTTGGTTTGGTTTTGTTTGTTTGTTTCATAAAATCTATTACCACAAATTCTCAAAGCTCGTCCTTTGTGAAGTTACATTTATATATCCACTTTTTATAGACACTTCAGACCTTTCTTGTGAATATAACATCTTAGTGCCACAAGAGCAAATTCCAGCATCTGCTGGTGCCTCTCTTACCAAAGATGAGGAGCTTATTGAGCCTGGGAAATCACTATGTGCCTCACCAACCTGCTCTCCGTTTATGATAAATGGAAATGAAGATACACTGAACAAGACAGGTATGTTAGATTTTTATCCTGATAAACTTCATTTTTAGAGTGAAGCAGAAATATTCACATTAAAAATGCTGATGTACATCGTAAAAATGCTGATGTACATCATAAAAATGAAAATGTACATTAAAAAATAAATTAAATGACTACTTAAAAATAATGAAATCTTAAGATTGGTATTTACTTGTTCTTTTTCCCTACTTCCTTTTTCTCTCCTATTTTCAGCAATAAACGTAAAAAGAAAAATGCAGAGAGAAGAGGAAAATAGAGGAAAGGGCATGGGAACAAAACTTGAAAAAGGCAATTATTCAGAAGTGCTTGTTTTCTGCAAGCGTTAAGGGCACAGAGCTCTATGGCTGTGGAGGAAAAAGACTCCTGGGAGACACTCAGAGCATGAAAATTAGGTTTTTGCTTTGAGCCAGTCTAGGTGAATCCTCATAAAAACAGAGAGAAACTGCTAGCCCCATGGACTGAGGATAGTCTTTACTAACACCTTCTGTCATGCAATTACTTTCTTGAAAATTCATGAGAATTGTTTTCCTTATTTTTATTTCAGAATCCAATTCACTGCCAAATTTTCTGGCTCAGATCGCTGCACTGATGGTGTGTTTAATCATTTCAGTATGTACAAGGTAATCCTTTTTAACTTTGTTGCTTTTTATATTAATGCTTGTTGTATTTCACCTGGTGAATAAAACACAAATCAGTCAATTTTGCAAAGAGATATATCTTATGTTATCGTATTTTCACAATTGTCAGTGCAGGCAAATATCTCAGCTATTTGAGTATGCACAAAAATAAGAAATATGTGTGCGGATGCCTACTTTGTCAAGCATGTTTTTGACAAGGGTTGTGGAAGCCTGAGGAGAATCAGAATACATCTGTATCTTTCTAGGTGACTAATGCGGGTGTTTCTCTCAGCCTGGCAATGTTGATATCCTTATTTCTAAGTGGTTTTCCTCAATAGCTCAAGTAACTTAAGGTTTCACATTGCTGTTCACCTAGAAGAGGCCAGTTGGTTATCTGCAAAAGCCTCCTCCTTCACCCAGTCATCTATTTATGCATCCCCTGCTTTTCTCTAAACTTTATTGTTATGTTCACAGGTATTTTCTGGGACGATTGTCTGCCATTTTGTTGTTGATAATTTTAGTCTGTAAGTACAGACCTTTATATTCAACACAATCTTTTGCTGAGTGATGTCTGCGGACAAAAATCTTTCCTTATGTAAAAATCCATGGCTCTTATTGATCCTGATAAGATCAATATGTGGGCATATGGGGACAGAATGTAGCCTTCAATCAATTACAGGATTTTGCATTTAAACTTCACAGTTCTTGTGTCCCAAGATGCTGCTCTGTCATCTTTCTTCAGTCTTGTCGCATCTTTCAAAACAACTAAGTTTGGTAAGTAACACTAATGTAATGAATAATGTAATTTAGAAATTTTATACTGAGAGAAAGGAGAGCCTCCTTCTGTTGTTTTCATGGCAAAAGATAGAAGGCGTGATCTGAAATTATTGATGCAGGTTTCTTTTTTTGTGTTACTGATTTGTATTCATAGAAACTTTCTATTTACTTTGAAAAACTGAGTTTTAATGATGTGCAATAAATGTTGTAACAGTTCACAGAAAATGAAGATGAACATAGTATGCCATAACATGAGCATGCAGAGACATGAACGTAACAAGATGTGCCTCATTAACCCAGTGCACCATTAAGTTCAGTACAGAGTTTTGCCTTTGGCTTGTACCATAGTCTGAGAAATGTTTTAGAAATGCTAAGTCTGATGAATAAAGGTGCTGATGTTATGCTTTTTCAGTCTGATTTATATCAAAGTTTTGGACAGAGCTATAGCTTCTGGATCCTCCTGGAGTAAAAGACTTGCAGAGTCGTAGTTCTGAACCGCATCTTCAGAACAGCTCATGAATATATCTCCTTGTTGCAAAAGTGTATGCAGGATTGATGAATTACTTTTATTCCACTTTCTATGCAGAGGAAAGTTCTTCTGAATATGTCAAAAATGCTGCTAAGACTGAAACCTTTGGGCTTACTTGAATGTGTAGTGAAAGTCAAGCTCAAAAGGACATTCTTTCTAGTACAATGTCAGGGTTCAGGAGTTGAGATATGTCAAGGGCAGCAGGACAAATACGGCATATCTCTTGCATTTAAATTGAATATGTGGGAAATTTGAAGCAACAAGGAAAAACCTGGAGAACATTTTGGAACACATCTCAAATACTAAAATACAGTATGTTACCCTTTGTTACTATGTCATTATTCAAAATGAAATCAGGGCCACCCATGCTCCAATGTATGGCTTTCTGACTTTCTGAATATTTCAGCCCAGAGTCGTAAACAAAACTGTTCTTCACGAGAAGGAGAAAAATACAGTCTGAGAGCTTTTCAGTCTCTGGGGTACAGAGAATACCTCTTTTACATAATGTGAGAAAAGTTATCCTCTCAAACAAGCAATCCAAAAGCATGACCATATTTGGCAAATTAGAATCTACACAATATACTATAACAAACTGTTGTGTAGATCAGAATGTACAAAAATGTGTTTGTTTGTTTGTTTGTTTTTGTTTGTTTGTTTGTTTTTCGCTTGACAGGAATAATTGAAAAGAAAGAATAGTTGGTGAGTACATGTTTAAGTCTAGAAAGAATTTGACACATTTTGGGAAGCCACATCCCAGTCCTGGTTCCCTTTTTTTCTTAGGTCTCTTTGAGTTGCTAAGACAAAAATGAAAAGAAAGAACTAAGTGGTGCTGTGACCATGTTTGTGTTCTTCACAGTGTGGATGAAACAGCCTTGTTCATCAGTTCCTGGACGAGTCCATTCAGCTTCTGAGATCTAAAGGCGGCTGCACAGCTGCAGATGCAACCTGGAAAACCCTTGAGAAAGTCCTCAGAAAGAGGAGGCTCATCCTGAGAACAAAAGTTTTCAGAACTTCATGCAGGCACTTGATCACTCTGCACAGTATGAAAGTCAATGATGAAAAATACAACCTGTTCATCCACAGTGGACAATAGATAGGGCACTTCTCACAGTCAGTGGGATTGTTTATATAAGGACTAGAACACCATAGCTTCAAAGCTGATTTTTATTTGAAGGCCAGAATCAATATTACCCAAAGCAGGCACTGTAGGACTGACTGGTGTTGCTTCCAGCATTTCAAAACAAGCTCTCCTCTTACCTTGTACAGAAACTTAACGACAGAGCAGTTAATTCTGTGCATTCTATTATCAGCTCACTGATTGTTTTCATTTTTCTGCCTCCTCAAACTTATTTCCCTCAGCTCTTTGGACCAGACTACTAGAAACCTCCTTATAGACACCATTACACAAGTTTCTATGGAAAAAAATAACAATTTTTTGTGTTTTTCCTTTAAAATGCAAACTATTTTAGCTTTATTTATATTTTATTTTATTCTGTGTGATGTCACATTTCTTGGTGATCATCTGCAAGCAGTCATGCAAAACCAGAGACCTCTAGTCTCTTATGTCAATGAGGTACTACAAAAAGATGGAGTCCTGTAAGCACTTTGATAGTGGACTCATTGTAAAAGTGTTCAGCAATCCTCATTAATTTTGCATTTGATAAGCGGCTGATGTCTTCAAATGCTTCATATATATTAATTTATTGTAATGCTTTGCTGCTAAAGACAGTTGGTTTGGATAGAGACTTAGGACCTGTAGTAACCATATTTCAGAAGCATTATTGTATCATGTGCACATTTCCTTTTGGCTATCATACCATTATCCTGAGCACCGTAAAAAGAGAGAAAAGGAAGAAGGAAATGTAAGAAAACATAAACATTAATGGGTGTGAAATTAGTGCCTAATTATTAGAAGGAAAGCACTCTTCAGAAAACTAGCAATCAGAATTTGGAAAAGCAATGATGAAATTCATTCAATATTGAAATTCTACCTGGATTTAGATAGGAAAAAAAAAAAAAAATACAAGACCCGCAGCTATTAACTATGCTTTGGAAACATTGAGCCTGATTTTTCAAGTTGGATCTTTGTCACCAGAGAGACTAAATCATACATAGATCCTGTGGGCAACTAAAAACCGCTTTTTGTGACTCCAAGCATTTAATAATCTGCTTCTTCAAATATCTCCCTGTATGCCAGTTTAGGTAGGACGGCATGGGTTTCATGTTCCTGTGCAACAGAACGATGATATGTGAGCATTCTGTTGCCCACCAGATCACTCTATAACTACTGTTGCTAATCATCTGCCTCTCCTCTGCTTTGCTAAAAGTGATGTTAGCACAGCCCCAGCTGATACATCAGATGTGAGATAGTGGCTGTGGAAGTAGTATTGCCAATAGAGTACAATCAGGCTGGCAGGCACAATGACTGGGATTTCAAAACTGTAGCAGGAAAACATACGATAAGGGTGCTGGTAGAAGAATCAACAAAACTCAAACACCACTCTCTGTCCAACTCTGCCTAAGCCAAGGTCAAGCACACTATGGCTGTATTTCTAGCACCGAAAATCCAAAGAAGTGTGGCAATGAAGAAAAGTATACATCCAGTCATTTAATATGTACATTTCTCTTTCAAATGGTAAATAAATATATGCTGGTTATATTTTGAAGTGAAGCATAAAGAGCTCAAGCAGGGAAATTTCGCCCAAATTAAAATGTTTGTTCAGTAATTTACAGTTGCTCAGTGTATTACATTGATCTTTTGTGAATGGAGACTGATGTAGCAAGACACAGTTTTATAGTTGCAATAAAAGGTGAACTTTTTTTTTTTCTTAAGACTTATGCATTGTGTAGGTAGCTAGTACAGTATTAACATACTTATATTTATTTGTACTTAATGCACTTCAGTACTTAAGTCCATTCTATTCTGCTTTATTTTCTTTAACTATAAAGACAACTGAGGGTATCATTGTGTAATATTTAAAAATATTTTTTGTTAGCTATTTTATTTCTAGATATATCAGGTCCTTTACTTAGTACATTTAAAATGAAAGGATTAAAAGATCTTTTGTGTTTAAATAATTTCCTGAAAGAATAAACTGGAAAAATACCATCCTGTCCTGGTAGAAAAGTCTAGGACTGCAGCTACCCTTGTAGTTACAGAAGTGACATGCTGAAACGCAGGAAAGCTGAAGCTCACTGTAAATTAGTGGAGATACAAGAGCAAGTGAAGAAAAAGCTGATAAAGCTTGCTAAAAATTTGGTGTAGCATGAACTGCTATAATCTGTCTGTGAAAAAATATAAGCTGTAAACTACAAGTGTTCTGATCAGGAGAGGGGGAAGTTCTGGAACAATTTTGCAATCGGAGTTCAAGGACTAAAAATAAGATGTGTGGGATCTGCTAAGAGATGCCCTCTGCAATATTCATCAGTGTTGAATTAACAAAATTCTATTCAGTTATCAAACTGCTTATGTTCGATTGTTTCCTTTCATATATTCCAATGGACAGAAAAGTAATTTGGGAAAGCAGTTCCCTGAAAAGAAGTACAGCAATATGGTATGTTCAGTCCTATTGAAAGATAAACTGAATCCAAAATTTATCTGACGAAAAACTGAAGAAAACATTTTCTAGCCTAAATGTTTAAACCCAGGCTGTTGGAGATAATTAGAATTTGCAACTTCTGCTAACTAGAGAATCAAGCCTAGGATAATTCTGAACAGTAATTCTAGTAAAATCGAACCGTTTTTAATTTGTTAATTAACAGATGCATCTACAAACAGAGAGGACTACTACAATTTTATTTTTGTCCTCGGTGATTAAATTCTTATTCAGCTTTAATATAGCACCTTATTTAAAAAAAAAATAAAAAATCAGAGAAGAAACTCAAGATTGAGATTTATAACCCCTATGCCTTTTATTTCTTGCTGTGTTCAGCTGAATTCCAAGGGCATTCTTGAGTATATATATATATATTCACTTAATAGTGAATATGTTTGTGTTGAAAAGAACAGCAGCAAGCAGAATGATAATAGCTTATAATGTTGCTAGTGTGTGACCAAGTCTGCTTAGTATTTGTCCTGAAAGTAATGCATACAGAAGTCAAACCATATGGACTAAGATTAACATCTTGACTTAAGTGGTATTAAATGATGCAGACAATAGGCATGGTCATTCAGTCCATTTCTGCAGAATATATTCCTTGGTGTATTATTATTATTATTATTATTTTTTTTTTGGCAAATTAGCCGCAGCATTTTGTAAACACTGTTGTGTATTTTAATATATACAGTGCAAAACTGTTATTTCATTTTATATTATTGCTTTTGTACATTTATCATGCTTCCATTTGCTTGTCCACCTATCATTTACATAGCTGTAAAGTTGTTCTTTTTCACATATTTTTCCTGTATTTGTCATCAATGATGCAATAATTCCAATAAATACTTCCAAAAAATTTGTTATTTGTCATTTTCTGACCTGCCCTGTAGGCTGTGTGCTATTTGGACAAGATTTATTGGTACTCTCGGGTGAAGATGAAAACCTAATTTTGTTAGTTATTATGTAATTGTTAGCAACATAGCATGTAATTATAATTACAGTAATGATAACAACAACAACAACAACAAAACACAATAATTAAATAGGAAGGAAAGAAAAAGACATAGTTCCAGATTCTGAATGGGTATCAATCAGCTGATTTCCATCTCAGCCTCTGATCTGCAGCATTTTAATAGTTAAGATTTGTTCATGACAATCAATTTGCTAAGGTTACAGCACTTTACATGAGTATATTCTGCACATGTTCAGGACACTTCTGATGCACTGCAGTGATAATGCTATAAAGCTAATTTTGTTCTGATGTGGAATGATTATTTTATATTGCATTGCTTTATGTGTGTAACAAATAAACTTATAATGTATTAAAGCAGTAAAGTGAATTAATTCAAGGAATGAATTCCAAATGAATTCCAGATGGGACACTTTTTCTTCTTTCTCAACTCCATTCTCCTGTTTGCAGTGTGGACATTATCTCTGTCATGGATATTGTCTCATGCTGAGAATGCATGTTACTTGAAGCTCTTAGTACACAACTAGTACAAATAACTGCATAAGAGTAGTGAACACAGTAATATTCATGTGGGTAAACATAAAGTTTAGACTTGTATTTGAAAATAAGTGAATGCAGAAGTCACTTCAGAATCTACATAGCATTTCACTTCCATATTATGACCAAAGCAGGAAGCACTGCCCAGGTTATGAGGTCCATTGTGGCACATACATACATACATAGCATCTTGGGATTGCACAAGATATTTGGTGGCATATTTAGGGGGATTAACACAGTTTGGGGAGGAGCAGGCATAGGAAAACAGGGACTAAGAACATAAAGGGGTTTGCAGGGGTGGTTGTGGTTTGATACACTCGTCTGCCATACACATCTTGTGCCTCATCAGAGCAGTCTGTCTTATCTCCTTATTTAACCCCATTTCTAACTCCTCCTAGGTAAAAGCCTCTCTGGTGTGCATGTGTGTGTATGAGGGTCTGAGTGCAGCAACTGGAGTGGGACCAGGATAACAGGAGTGAGTGAGGGTGCTTCAGCATCAGCAGGAGTCTCCACAAAGCAAGTAGCTCAGATGGCCCAGGAGCTGGGCACGTTTCGCTCTGTGCCTGCTGGGAATACATGTTCAGGCTCACTGCTGGCTGGAATTAGGGGCATGGAGCTGCAGCATCCCTGCAGTATTGCTTCTGTAAAGCTGCCAGACCTGGCAGCTCTCAGTCAAATTTCAACAAGATAACTGCATAAATGAGATAATAAGAGAAAACTAAAGTGAAAAACAATGTTGTATAGATAAAGAAAAGTATCTACCATAACTTGCATAAATTAGCCTTTCTGGACACGTCAGTATAGATTACTGGTAATTTATTTACATTATGATATGAAATATCCTCAAGAAATCTACTTCAGCCCTCCCACAAAGCTTTTGCAAGAACATCTCTTTGCAATCGCCCATTTCTGTTTCTTGCTGTGCCATGTTAGCCTTGGCTAGCAGCCAGACTCCCACCCAGACACTCTCACTCCTCCTCTGCAACAGAACAGGAGAATATAGGATGAGAAAGCACGTGGGTTGAAAGAGGGACAGGGGAATAACATACCACTTATTGTCACAGGCAAGAAAGACTCAAACTAGGAAAAGTTCCATTACTATAAATTGAAATTTTCAGAGTCTTCAGTCTCTCAGAGACATGGACCTGTTAAAGCACATCCAGGGGAGGGCCACAAAAATAATCCAAGGGATGGAGCACCTCTCCTAAAATGACAAGCCGAGAGAAGGCTGTTCAGCCTGGAGAAGACTCCAGGGAGAACTGACAGCAGTATCTAAAGAGGGGCTGTAAGAAAGAAGGCAACAGGCACTTTAGCAGGGTTTGTTGTCACAGGACAAGGGGAAATGGTTTCAAACTAAAAGAAGGGAGATTAAATTGGATATAAGGAAAAACTTCTTACAATAATGGTAGTGAGGCACTAAAACAGGCTGTCCTGAGAAGAGGTGGAAGCCCTGCTCCTGGAGACAGTCTGGATGGGGCTCTGAACAGCCTGATCTAGCTGTAGGTGTTCCTGTTCAATGTTGGGAAGTTGGACTAGATGACCTTTAAAGGTCCTTTCCAACTCAAACGATTCTATGATTTCACAAAATTCATTCAGGTAATGAGAAAAAAAATGACAAAAAAAATATCTCCTCTGTTTTTCCCAATCTCAGCACCATCCCTTCATACACCCACTGGTCTTTATAGCTTACTGAGAGCATGAGAAAGTAATAGCGTGCAAGTCTAGAGCCATGAAAAAAAAAACAAAAAACAGGGTTTTAGAATAACAAAATAATTTCGGTATTTCTGTGCAATGCAGTGTAGACACAGCACTTAAAATACTGGATGTAGACAGAATGAGATTTTTCTTATTATTATCGATTACCTTGAATGTGAGTTGTAATCTCAAGTCAGAAATTAATAGTTCTAGTAAAAGTCACAGCTGTAAAAGCTATTATTTGAAGGAGCCTGCAGTGTGATATGAAATAAATGAGCAGACAGCAAAAGGCCTTGCTCCCAGCCTTCATTTCTGTGGCTTTGTAGCCACGAGATGGTGCCGTCCAACCAGCTCTGTTTGAATCTTTGTCCTCAATGTTAGTTGGTTATGTCCAGTCAGACAGGGACAAATGCCAGGGACTTACAAACCCACGTGTGTAAACTTCAGTTTGCTCCTTTGTGTCTCATTACCTCCACAAAACTCAGTAGCTTTAACTCCATGACACCTCCTTTCTCCTACTACCCCCTAAATAGCAACAAAATTAGAAAGTTACGTTGTGATTTGTATTTTCATGGATTACATCCCAGCTAAGTGACCTAATAAGTGAAGATTTAAAAATAAACAAATAAATCTTTTTCTTAAACATTTGTAATGTGTGTGATTTTTCAGATAATAGATGAGCTTTAGGCTTGGTTGAACCTTCATGTTGTGGTTAACTAAGTGTTTTGTGGTGCGTGCTGACTTTCCTGATGTTTACACCTTGATTTGGTTACAACTGTACCAGTTTATGTTCTGTACCTGAAGTTTTGGAGTCACCAATTGTGGCTTCTACAGGGTTGTGACCGAGGAATGATGTGGCAATGAGTAGAATACATAAGCTTGTAATTACTTCATTGCTGAACTGTAATGGTTGTCATCATATCAGTGAAGGACTCTGTGAAGTGATGTTTTGAAACATGTTATCCCCTCCACTTCCTTCGGGGTTTAGGTTGCTGTAACTGTGCCAGTTGGGAACTTGTTTCATCAAGCACATGGAGCAACACTATATTATGTGGACTGCAAAGTAGGAAATCCCATGCATGAGGGTTGATGTCACTGAGACCTCCAGCCACGACTGACTCACTAAGTTGGTTGCAAGGTAGGTATTGAATGTGAAGTTTAAGTATGGCAATGACAAGTGGGAGTCCACAAAACACTGCAGGGGGCTGTAATAACTATGTACACAGCGTGGCACGTTTCACACAGCTATTTGAGCAGATTCATGCCTTAAATAGTGTAGTAAAAGTTTTTTTGAGACTGTGACCCGCTGGGACACAGCTAAAAGGTGAAGGACAGCAGTGTTCGCTGCAAGCAGTGTGGTGGCAAATGAGGTGACGAGGACATCATGCAATGGATAGACAGAAGACGCAGCCTGAGGAAGATATTTCATAACTGAATGCCAAAGGAAGGAGCCAGGACACACTCATAGAAATCGTCATTTTGCAGTATAAATGGTGCAGGCGTTTCCAGCTTTAGCAGACCCGCGGGCAGAGCTGAGGCTGCGCTGAGGGGAGCGGCACAAGGCCGGCGGCCCAGCAGCGCCCTGCACGTTGCCATGGCAGCGCGGGGCGTCCTGTAATGGCGGCGGCGGGGAGCTGCGGGCAGCCATGGTGCGGAGTGAGTGTCACACAGCCTTCCGTCTCACCTCCGGACCCCACCCTCCTTTCCCCACTCCCCAGCTACCATATTCCCTCTCCCCACACTTGCTCCCCATAACTTACACCTTTACCTCAATATTTATTGTTTTCTTCTGCAAGTTTGTTTCCCTTATTCCCCCTAAAAACATAGGTAGCATAGAGAATGTTAAACGTTCACTCCGTTCCCCATAGAAGGATCCCAAAATAGATAGACTGTGTTGGGAATGGTTGTCTCTGCCTTGCATACCACGTATTGAAAATGAGTGTTTCTGCATACTCTCTGCCACAATCATCAGCAAATGGAAATCTGGCTGTAATAAAACTGTCCAAAATAGTTTGCGTCACTTATTTTTTTTCTATTAAGGGTATAGCACGTACAGATGTCTCCAATGTGTAAGTGTGCAGATCGTGGGATATTGTTTTCTTGCTCAAAAGCAGCTGTTTGCACTGGAAATACTGTCACTACAAGATCTGACACTAGACACATTGGAAAGAAGGCCATTCTTTTCTGTAATTTCCAGCATGCTTGCAAAGGAAGTTATTAGAAACGCTGATGTTTTTCAAATTTTCTGTAAATACTATTTAGTCGTGATTATTGCCATATTTCTATTTTATCTAATAATTTAATGAGCTTTAATCAATTTGCGGTTGAACAGAAGATGGTTTTTCAGATGCAGCAAACCTACCCACCTATCCAGGGGATGGGCTCACCTTTCCCAACACACTTCCTATGCAGACAGGATCAATACCAGCATCACTGATAAGTAATTCCATATGTCTGTAAACGTGACATAAATCAGATGAAATTTGGGTGAAAGAAGGGAAATTGAACTCTGCTTATTGCAAAAAAATGTAACATATTTGCAAAAATTATTTTGCCACTTTCCTAAAGGCCGTGGATAGAGGAGCTGTGCTGACACACACAGGTCTGGGCCACACAGGTGCACAGATCATTGGGCTTTCAGCAGCCCTGTTCATGTGAATGCGTGCAGCTGTTCCAGGACCAGTAATAAAGACAGACCATTTATCAAAACCTCCTTGAGATAAAGAAGCAGTGAAGAAGAATATGTGTAATAAATGCATGCCAGGACCAATTGGTTTTCATAGATCTCTGTATTTATATATTTTTCTTTTTTTTATTATTTTTCTTCAGAGTGTTTTTGAAAGGCTTGTTAGGCTTCTGTAGGTTTTAAAAATATGAGCAAGTATCTATGCTTATTTGCTAAAAGTCCTGTTTTTTAATCAGTACTTCACTGTAGTTCACCGTTTATCAAGGAGATGAAAATACTAGTGCTTTTTTTGGTGCAGTGGACTGGAAACAAAGTAATCACATCTACCTCAAGAGCTAGCACTAGTTCTCATAGAATTTCTTTATCTTCATTATACAGATCCTTTTCACTGTTTGAAAGATTGCCTGGCACTAAACATTGCTAACTGAAAATTCTGAAGCCGGGTTTCTAGCGTCTTTCAGCCACTCTTCTGCTTGCTGCTGGTGCCTACACAGGATTACATATCATCCCAACACAAACATTTATAAGCATGAATTAGTTAGAGCTTCGCCTCAAGCAAGGTTTGCTCTACACCTTTATGGAAGATTCAGCAGTTTTCATATGGATTTTTCTAAATGTTAGAGGTGGCTTAATTGCGTTTTATGAATTATAATCACTGTAGCAGGGTGAGCTGAAGTTGCTTGACACTTGTCTTTTATAGCAGAATTTCTTTTCGTTGATACTTGTCCCAAGTATCTATTTAGCATGATGGAACAAAAGATTTTAATGATCTAAAAAATTGATCATAATTCAAGTGGTGGAGATATTTTCCAATGACATCAACTATTTTTTCAGTCACTGAAGATCTTGTTAGAAGACGTGCAGAACATAATAACTGTGAAATATTTTCTCTGGAAGAAATCTCTTTACATCAGCAAGAAATAGAAAAATTAGAATACCTTGACAAATGGTGTCGGGATTTGAAAATTCTCTATCTTCAGAATAACCTAATTCCAAAAATTGGTAAGCATTTTCTGGATATGTTTTTTATTAAATGGAATTGGATGCATAGTAAGAAATATATGTATATCTTTTGCGTAATTCTTCATGGAATAGGAAGTGAGGAACTACAGAAAAGTTCTTTCTGACTCCGCTCCCACAAGATTTTATTTCCCTTTCCAATTAGCAGACTTCTAAGAAGCTTAGAAATTTGCAGAAGGAATTTAAATGAAAAAGTTAGTATTGAGATACATGTCACTAGAATGTAAGTGTAGAACACCTTAATTGGTTAAGAACTTGTATGTGAAGGTATAACTCAAAGATCCTTTTCTTGTAACAGAGACAGTTCAATGCATTCCATAAACTGCAATATTTGAGAACCAGCTGTCTTCATGCTCATTTTTCAATTCAGTTTTTATACATATAGTAGGTTTTGTTCAGACAGAAATAATCTTCATTAAGATACAGTAATTGCTTTTGTGCATAAAGACGTATCGACAACGTACTGAGAAGTCTGAATGATCTTCCTTTACCACAGGAAGATGCAGTTCCTTATGATCTATGTTTTGTGCTCTTGTGATACAGCTTTAAGTTTGCTAGGCGAATAGAATGATGTGATGTGGAGCCTTGATCTGGAAAAGCATAGATTCTACAGATGCTGTATAGATTGAATAGAGTGGTTCAGTTGGAAGGGACCTTCAAAGTACAACTGCCTGATCTCTCTGGAGCTAACCAAAAGTCAAAGCATATTATTAAGGGCATTATGAAGAATGGAAAATCAGAAGTGTTCACGAATGATATTAGCATATTTCTTTGAAGTTCCTTAAGAGGCAGAAAAAACAATCTAGAGTTTTAGGGTGAAATTCTGTGCTTGTGATTTGGAGGCAAAGGCTTTAAATCTTCTCAACTCCAAGCTGCCCTGAAGGAGCTTGTCAGGAAATTCCTAAGGAATATTTGTATTGATAACATCTGCATTTCTTAGAGTGGAGTAATCTTCTCTCAAAGAGAGGAAGATTTTTTTAAACTGCTTTATGCTGCTCTATCCCATCAAAATTGGAGTAAAAAAAGTTGTTTTTCTCTCCGTTATTTTGTGCTTAAGGCACAAGATCCTATCTTATTCTTTTGTCAGTGCTCATATCTCATAGAAACAGTACTGAATTCAAGAAGTAAACTACTGTGAAGTAGACAGCAATGTATCGATGCAGAACACACAGACATTAGTTACAAGCACACTTCTGTATATCAAAATATCATAGCTGCATGTTTTATACTGCCTCTGTGTGTCTTTTATTTTAAAGGAAACCCTTAACACCACCCTAAAGATCAGACTAGCCTACTGGTCAGTTAGCAAACTGCAAGGTATCCATATGCATAGAAATAAAACCACCAAGCTGTATAAATGAGTCCTGGCTCTTTTCTTTTCTATAAATGGGAAGAAAACACAAGATCACAGAATCACAGAATCACAGAATTGGCAGGGTTGGAAGGGACCTCAAGGATCATGAATCTCCAACCCCCCTGCCACATGCAGGGCCACCAACCATCCCACCTAATGCTAGACCAGGCTGCCCAGGGCCCCATCCAATCTGGCTTTGAACACCTCCAGGGATGGGGCATCCACAACCTCCCTGGGCAGCCTGTTCCAGCACCTCACCACTCTCTCCATTAAGAATTTCCCCCTGACGTCCAACCTAAATCTCCCTTCCCTCAGCTTAAAACCATTTCCCCTTGTCCTGCTGTCACTCACCCTTTCAAAGAGTTGATTCCCCTCCTCTTTGTAGGCTCCCTTTAGGTACTGATAACATTGTGTTCTACACTGCCTTACTCATATCATGCATACCGATACTGCAATTATAAAAATACCATAGAGAAAATATACAGCAAAATACGCGGCGTGAATCCTTGCTGAGAAATTAATTTCATTATCTATGAATTGAGAAAACACCTCTCCAAGGTGTTAGTTAACCAAGTGGTAGAATTCATGTCGTCAAACTTCCAGGCATCTATGTCTTAGCCAGTTACTATAGCCTCCCTTAGGAAGAAGACATATTTTCAATCCTGATTTAGTTCACTGGTTTTAGACAGCCAATTTAAGACAAGACAAATTGCACCCTGAATAACCTATTTCTCTATATCGATTATAGGGGAGCCTAGAGAAGTAGCTCAGCTGTAGACACGATCTGTATCAGTTAGATGAATCTTCCTCTGTTAAATTTCCTTGTTTGCCTCTGCAGGGCCATTATGTACAGCAGTTAGTCTGCACAGCTTGCGAATTAGAGTGTGAGGTAAACTTTCTGACTTCACTGGATAGGTTTTCCTGTCAGTCAGATCTTCAAAAAACCCGAGACTGGTGAAATCTGTGAACTGCATCGTGTGTTAAAGCATGTATCTTGTATCACAGTTGTGTCTCAGACCTGTGTGTCACCTTTCAAATGGCATTTGCATTTCCCGGTTATTTTGGCACTGGTAAAGTTTACTACTCCCCTACTCTCCTTACACAAAGGAGGAAATGCTAGCTATTCTGGCAGCAATAAAAGAGCAAACATTCTGGTTCTGCTAATTTCACTACTTTGTGCTGAAAATAATACATTTTAGATCCCAAATTATAGAATGGTCTTGTTGTTGGCTGAGAGCTGCCTGCTATCTTATGTTTGGCCTGTAGAAACAGAAGTCCTGCAGCTTTAAATGAGTCATTGTACATATTCCAGTTATATCACAGTGACACTATGGATAAATTTGAATTACCGTATTTAATAAAGAGCAGCTTCACTCATTTATTTCTGTCAAATTGTGTTAATCTATCAGGGAATATTCCTGGATATATCATCTACTGTATTTATTCTTGGCTTGAAACAAAGTGATGTAGTACCTCCTCTTGTACCTGTATACTACCATACATTTTCTATGATTAAAGCAACTTTCTAATCCTTTTCTCCTCTTAGAACAAACATCAAGCAATACTGCACTCCTTCAGTGCTTTTCACTCTGAAGAATAATACATTAGATAACGCAGGTGATATTTAGGGTTTACATAATGTTTTTCTGTAAAGAAAGCCTATACAATGCTGTGTAAATATTTATTTTGAATGCAGACAAGGAATTCTCCCATATGCCACTGAAATCTTATGTAGTGTCGAACACAGTATGCTTCTGACACAATGTGTGATTGTCTCAGGGACAACAAAGTGCTGTAATCTTAACTTCCTCTTGGTTTTTCAGTTCCATTTAGTTAAGGGAGCTGAGCTTCTTTGAAGAAGCATGCAAGCATTTAGGATCTCAACCCTTTTGCATTGCTGAGCTTAGTTTAGTTCCTCTGCAAATGACTTAACCTCCAGATCCCAAGCCACTTGCAATCTGAACAAATCTACAACTCTTTCATTATTCAGTCTTACCTCTGTTTGTTGTGCCTTTTTGGAGTACATGTGCATGCTAAGACAGTTTCACTCAGTGCATGGCCACATAGCACCATAAAGCTTTAAAAATCTATTGAAGGCAGGTGTGCAACGGTGAAGGAAAGTGTAACAAAAAAGCAGGACTGGCAAACTTACTAGCACAGGGGCATGAGCTCTGACAAAGGGAATTATTAGATAAGGTTTTATTTCCCAAAATGCTAATGCATGCCTCAAGGATGTTTTTTAGGCTTGTGGCAGAAAGGTATCATAGTTTGAAGTTGATTGTTATTGCATTTGCTGTTACTTCTGTCAGAATGGCGTGTTTGTGTATTCATTATGACTTGACTGAAAACAGAAAAGATAATGGCTAACCCATCATTGTGGGCCAGCCCACTACTGCTTCCTCAATTGATCATGCATATCTGAAAATCCTAGTTGAAAATGACATGACCTATTTTGTTAAACCCTCCGTTATTTTCTAATGTCAGGAATTAAAACACTTCTTTGGGTTTTCCTAGAAACTTAAGTTGACAACAAAAATTCCAGCAGAAAAGGAAGCTTCTTAGACCACATTTTTACCACGTTTTAACTCATACTATTTTATAGGCAACACATCAATTGCAGGCTAAGTAACTTTGGATTATGTAAGACAGTAGGTCTAAGCTTTATCTCAAAAGAGAATAAATTTTGCCAACTGTTATATACCATAGATTTATTGATTATTTAAGTTAGTTGTATTAGCCATGTAGATAAAAGACCTTTAGAAAATGAATATATACTAAAGAAACCAATCTTTTCTATATAAGTGAGTGTAAAACTCCAGTTTCATAAAGCTTGAAAAAATATGGTCCAATCATTCCTGAGTTTCACGATGAATGAAATGTTTCACCTTGTATGTTGGCCAGTCCTCTTGCATTATGTATTTGTATTATAGATGTTTTGATAAAAAATGTGTTTATAGCCTTCCCTCTTTTTTAATATTAACATGTACTTCTCATAGAAATCCTGTTTTCATCTTTTTAAGTGTTAAAATATTAATGCCTGATAGTCTAATATAAATTCAGGTTTGTCCTTCCCATTTTTCTGCTTTATTGTTTGTCTGAAGTTAAGTGAACAAGTAAAATAATAACGCCTTTTCAGTGAAGGAATGAAGTAATGGATGTGTGTTTTGTTACAGAAAATGTGGGCAAGTTAAAGAAGCTAGAATATTTAAATGTTGCTTTGAACAATATTGAAAGAATTGAAAATCTGGAAGGTAAGATATTTTAATGAACTAGTCCTCTTTTTCTTATTCAGAATTTGAGTAGAGACTTAATGTAAGGAAAAGTGGAAGCTATTAATTGTGCCCATCAATAAACGTACTGTGTTTACAGTCAGAAGAAGCTGGTTTGTGTGCAGTGTTTCAGTATTTCTTTGTAGCCAGTGGTTCTTACAGCTGAAGTTTTGTCACTGTTGTATCTTAAATGCATTTTAACTTGCTCTCTACGTACTCTTTTACCAGTGTTGTCAGCTATGACAGCTCCATTCTTTAATACTTTACAAAATAGGAATCAAAATTCAATGAACCTTGACAGGATTGGTATTGCCCCAGTTGTGCAAGGGTAAGTTTAGGTTGGATATCAGGAAAAACTTCTTTACAGAAAGGATTGTTAAGCACTGGAATAGGCTCCCCAGGGAGGGTTGAGTCACCATCCCTGGATGTGTTTAAAAACTGTTTGGATGTGGTGCTCGGGGACATGATTTAGTGGAGGGTTGTTAGAGTTAGGGTAGTGTGGTTCGGTGGTGGTTGGACTCAATGATCTTTAAGGTCTTTTCCAACCTGAGCAATTCTATGATTCTCTGATTTGTTATGCAGCTTATCTAGCGCAGAGTTTTTGTTTATTTGTTTGTCTGTTTTTTAATACTATGCTGGCTATATAAAGCATCTCTTGATATGGTTCAGCAGTCATCTTTACTTCAGCAATCAAAAGTCTCACAGAAGGACATTCTACATTGTACAGAAGTTGCATTGTCTAGAGGATTTTCATAGAGGTTTTCAGATCAATCTTTTTTCTATCTTTATGTAAAACTTTATCTGTATTATCTCTGTTTTATCATTTAGCCTGTCACTATAATTGCTTGTCCAAGGATTTACCATTTTCCATGAGCAAGTCCTAAGACTTAGAGCCATCCATAAATACATTCCATATTATTTGAACCCTTTCTGACTTTTCTTTCTCGATTTGCTTAGTCAAGTTGCTCAGTATATAAAATGTGCGCCTTAGCAAGGGGACAAAAAAAAAAAAAAAAAGCTGTTTTGCTTTATTTTCTTTTGAATCATATGCATGCTGATTCAAGAGAATGGTTTAAATCAAATGGAAAAATAAACAAATAGTTGCAGAAATATGTACTGCATTACTTATTTGGCAATTTGTTGAGAAATTTACATCTGTTTTCATGCCAGCAAATTTTAAATTCCTCTAGCAGGCTGCATTATTTATTACTGTGATTTGTCATTTACTTAGATGCCAGAAACTTTGGGAGCGAGTCTTGCAAAAATTGAGGTTGTTTTAATCCTCTAATAAATCATTTTGCGTTGTTTATGCTCTTTCAGTTCCATTATGCATAGAATACTTGCCAAGTAGACCTGCAAAGGAAAAGAGGTGATTAAAACAATGAGCACAGAAGTTGAATTTGCTCTTAGCTGAACTTTTTTACTCTTAGGCCAAGGTTATGACTCATGGACAGATTATGATAAAAGGAGTAGCTGATAAGTTCTGGATCCAGATTTCTCTGACCAATTTGTTAGCAAATTTAGTGTTACTAATTATAATAAATATTTCTGGTTAGCACACCACTTTCTCACCAATTTTTGCAATTTAATCAGTGATAAAATATTCATAACAATAGCTGAGTCCATAAAGTGCAAAACTTCATCTCAACTTGGAGTGGATTTTTAGAAAACATTTTATCAATACTTTGGTAATGTTGGTTAAGATTAACATTACACAGAAAAGAAACCCTTAAGTCATCTTGCTCTTCTGAAGCAATTAGGCACTCTTTAGCCACGTGGAGAAGGCTTCAGCTGAGAACAGTACCAGGATGATCAGACTCTTAAAGCGGAAGTTTATCTTGTCTGGAAATGAAGCATTTAATAGCTAGTATATAGGATCTAGCCACAGAGTTCTTATAGTCGTGAAACCAAGAGAAATTTTTTTATATTTTCCATTTAATCAAGATTTTTTTTTTCTTTCTATAAATACTCTAATCTCCTGAAGCTTAGCTGTGAGTCAGTCTTCTACTTGTGGCCTGTAAAAGATGTATCCTGACAGGATGAAGTTATTATACAAAAGCCAAATGCAGGCATCAGTTTTAGTACTCATGTGCATATATATGTCTGTATGTTTGTGTGTATGTGTCACGAGCATTTATGTTATGAACAAATGAAATGATTTTTTTTTAATTCAAATAGGCTGTGAAGAACTGAAGAAACTTGACCTGACAGCAAATTTCATTGGTGAACTGTCCAGTGTCGAAACCCTAAAATATAACATACATTTGAAGGAACTGTTTCTAGTGGGTAACCCATGCACTGAATTTGAAGGTTATAGACAATTTGTGGTGGCAACACTTCATCAATTAAAAGTAAGATTTTTATTGTTAGTTCTATGAACAAATCAATAACCAGCTCTGTTGATTAAACATACTAATCCAAAACAAAATAAATGCTTGTGGTAGGAAAAAATAGGAATCTTTTTCGTACTGCCCTCAGGAAAGTAAAGTCTGTTCTCAAGAATTCTGACTAAACCACAGTTATTTTTTAAAATTATCTGTTATTTTCATTGGAGATGCTTTAACGAAGTTCTGAAAAGATAAATACACAGTACAGTTCTGGCTTTTTACTCATTTGTTTTTATACAGACAATATTTTTTTAAATATGTTTTTTTAAATATTGCCATGATTTCAGAAAATTACCAAATTGTAGATAATGTACTGATGTTATATACCATACCAACAGTGTAAGGCAATAGAAGGGTAGAAGTTGACATGAAAATGCACTATATTGCATCTGCTGTAAATAGATATGTTGAGATTGAGGTTCTGTGCAGGGACTGATCTAATGATTTCCTGTCACTGAAAATGACTCCAAGTACACACTCACACTTTACCTTGGAGAAGCACAGACACTTACTTTTCTTAATGTGAGTATATTCAACTAACTTTGTCAGCAGTAAATGAACACATTTAAAGAAATATATTCGTAAAAGTTCCATGAGCTGAATCAAAATCAGAAAAAAATAACAGAAATGGCTGAAGGGACTCTTCCAACTCCATAGTAATAAGACAAAGTAAAACTCTGAGAAGATGCAAAAGGCAACTGTTAGGCACAAACACTTTTTCAGATCTAAATAGAAATTTACTGTTAATTCTTTTAAATATTTCTTAAATAGTGCTTTGGAGGTTTGAAATGAATATTAAATTAACCTGCAGTTTAATGAATTTATTTGATTGAATATGTTTAAAATTTCTCATGTACTTATATGGATTTTTCTTCCCTTTGGTAAGTATTTGGATAGTAAAGAAATAGAACGTTCGGAGAGAATTCAAGCACTTCAATACTATCCAGAAGTGAAACAGAAAATCAGAGAACAGGAACAAGCTTACCTTCTCAAAAGAGCCAAAGAAAAAGAAGAGGCTCAAAGAAGGATGCATGAAAGAAAGGATAGGAAAGAAAAACAAATGGAAGCTGAGCTTGGACTTGACAGGTAACAGTAGGTAGCCACAGTTTTTAAGTAATCATCTAATCATCATTCTTCTCTTTCTTCATTAATAATTTTACTTTTCCTCCTGAAATATTGGTTATGTAATTCTACTTAAAGTCTCATGTTTGTCTTTATTACTGATCCTAGTGGGATTCTAGCATTTATCCTCAAGCATTTTTTGCCTACAGAAAAACATAATTAGTTATAAATGTCATTAATTACTGACCTGCAGACAGTAGAAAAGAATTTTTGTCCTGTATCTCCAAGCTAAATTGTCTGGGTGCCAAAACGGTGTAATTGATGGCTTCTTTCAGGAGGACAGCTGGAAATTGTTATTTAAGGTAATACATTTGTTTCAGAGAAAGCTGTTCTTCATCTGTAATTTCTTTTGCTTCAGACCTAATAGATTTTAAGAATGAAACAGAATTTGAAGATCTTTTGAGATGTGTAAAAGGCTATGGAATTGTTTACACCTACACTTCTTCAACCTTATGTTACTAAGACAGCAGAAGGATTTTTCTCTCGCTTTATCTTTCACTGTACTTGACCTTCATCTTCAGTCCATTTTCAGTCCAGTACAGTCTAATTTTCTTCAAAAGCTAAACATCTCTCCTGTGTCAGGGCCTGGGCACAGGAACAGTGCTCCAGATGGGGCCTCATGAGAACAGAGTAGAGAGAGACAATCATCTCTCTCTTGCTGTTGGCCACCCCTCTTCTGATGCAGCCCAGGATACTGTTGGCTTTTCGGGATGCAAGCACACACTGATGGCTCATGTTAAATTTTTCATCTACCAGGATCCCTATCTCCTTCTCAGCAGGGCTACTTCTCTCTCCTGAGGGAAGGATTACTTCTCTCAGTCTGTATACACATCTGGGATTACTCCAACCCAAGTGCAAACCCTTGCACTTTGCTTTGTTAAATCTCATTAGGTTCACAAGGGCCGACCCTTAGAGTTTATCAAGGCCCCCTGGATGGCATCTCTTTCTTCTGCAGCAAACTTGCTGTGGGTCTGCTCAATCCCATCATCTATGTCACTAAAAGATGTTCAAGAGTACTGGTCCCAAGACCGCCCCCTCGGGGACGCTGCTTGTCACCAGCCTCCACCTGGACTTAAAAACATTGACCACATGCATCTGGCTGTGACCTTCCTGCCAATTCTTTATCCACCAAATAGTCCACTCTTCAAATCCTTCTCTCTCTAATAGTCCACTCTTCAAATCCTTATCTCCCTAATTCAAAGGAAAGAATGTGGTGCAGAACCATGTCAAAGGCCTTGCAGAAGTCCAGATAGATGGCATCAGTTGCCTTCCCCTTGTCCACCGATGCTGTCGCTCTGTTATGGAAGACCAGTAGATTGGTCAGGCCAATTCACCTTCCTTTCGTGAAGCTCTGCCTTCTGTTTCAGATCACCTGCTCATCCCTCATGTGCTTTAATGTGTCTTCCAGGAGGATGTGCTCCATGATCTTCCCAGACATGGAGTTGAGCCTCACTGACGTGCAGTTCCCCGGATCCTCCTTCCTCCCTTTCTTGTAAATGGGAGTGATGTTTCCCTTTTTTCCTGTTACTAGGGAACTTTGCCTGACAGCTACAACTTTTCAAGTATGATGGAGAGCAGTTTGGCAGCCACATCAGCCAGTTCCCTTTGGATCCTAGATACATGTCCATCATGCCCCACAGACTTGTACAAATTCAGTCTCATGAGGCGGTCTCAGACTTACTTTGCCCTTACAGTGTGGGGGAGTATCCTCCCCAAGTTCCCACCGGGAGCTTCAGGAATATGAGGTTCAGGGTTGTGAAGTATGAGAATCCTGCCTGCCAGTGAAGACTCGGGCAAAGAACGTAATGAGTACCTAAGCCTCCTCCAAATCTGTTGTAGCCAGTTCTCCTTTCTCATTTATCAGAGGAGGTACTCTCTCTTTCACCTATCCCTCCTGACCAGTGTACCTATAGAACCTCTTTTTTTCTATAACATCCTTTGACAAGTTCAGTTCCATCTGTGCCTTGATTTTCCTAATCCCATCTCTGCATGTCCAGAGAGCATCTCTGTATTCTTCCCAGTGACACATCCTTGTCTCCACTGGTTGTGGAACTTTGTTCTCACAGATCACAGCTGTATCATAAATTTAGTTTCCATTCTGTATAGATAGCTAAATGCTAGGGGGAAAAGTGACTTAGGTTTTAAGATGACACTTGAAATGTGTACATAAAAAGTTGCTATCTTATAAATTTCTTATCTACTACAGCCTGATATAGGAAATATTTAAGCATAACAGGGACTGAAGATTTTCTTTCACCTGAAGGTTATAAGGGCATCTGACAATTCTGCTGCTGAAATTAACTCTTTTGAACTATCTTTCAGGATTTTCAGATGGCTTGGCAAAATCATAGTATTTCTTAGTTAAGTCAGTGAAAAGTATTGTGTTGAAATTTTTTTTTTTTATTATTTCTGCAAGGACTAGAGCAGAACAAGTTATCTGAATACTTAAAATATCGTTGGTAGGAATTAATATTCATATTGGAGTAATCAATCTATCATTGCTGTTACTCTTCTTTTTTCAAACAATATTCCATGTGGTTTTGTGTAGCCCAGACTCACTACAATACAAAGAAAATCATCAGACAGAAGGAGAACAACAAATGTGGAGAACAGCTGAAGATGATGAGGAAGACAGAAGATTTTGGGAGGAGCCAACACCATATACTCCAGAATCTAGATTAGAAACTCACAGATATATTGAAGAAAAAAGGAAAGCTAGAGACAATATAAGGTATATCTTTTTGTTTTAATATATTTTGGGAACTGAAGACGAACAACTTCTTGAAGGCACAGAGAGGAGGTTGGTGTCTGCCTCACATTGAATATTGTCTTTACCTGTGCAAATATGCTTTAAAAATGTGAATAAAATATATCGGCTGCTTATTTTTTTTCATTTTCTATTTTTTATTTTAACCTTTGTTTTCTCTCAAACAGGGTTGTTAAATATAGTAATTTATCTTTTCAGCTCTATTGTTTGGATTTCAGAATTTCCACTGTTCTTCCAGCTAACTCATGTTTGATATCATGTTTGAGAATGAATTCTGAGTGACACACCTAAGAAGTTATTATCTATGTAAATAGATGATACTACAAAGCATTTGCTCAGCTTAAGATGATGCTTTTAATGTTCAGTTGGACATAACCTGTTTAATTTCTAAAATAAGTTATATCCTTAAAATCCAGTACCAGATAATCCTTGCCTTCCTGACATCTTCTCCTTTCTGTTTTGCTATTCAACATAAAATATGAAAATGTGAAATTATAAGCTGTTTTTCTTTCTATTTTGTTTAGAGGGTCAAAAACGAGAGAGAAGCCTCTTCCAAAACTGGTCACTGCAGAAGGAAAAGTTCTGAATGTCAATATGCCTAAGTATGTAAGAAAGCAATGCTGTGAAGAATTTAAACAGTTGATTTAAATCACTATTTTGAGACGTGTGACAATACAAAAAATAAGAGAAAAGACAAATTCTGACATGTAGTATTGTATTTCAAGTGGGGAAAATTACTCCTAAAATTACTCTGATGCTGGAAAAATAGTTTTCAGTGAGTAAAGTCTTAAAGGTTGTTAATTTATATCTTGATATTTGAAAACAAAAGGATTTATTTTTGTGTAAAAAATCCTTACTCTTCTTCCCTTCTGTGGTAAATCTCTCCAACAGCACCTTGCTAATAGTGGAAAAAGTGTAACTAAAATTTGACTGTTGAAGATAGATGTGTATAAGTAGCCACTTTAAATGTGGAAAATTATGTGTAAGTACTATTTTTGAACAAAATCATTCTGTCCTTAAATGACAGATATAAAAGGCAGAATTGTGCAGCATATGTAATTCACTTGTATGCATGACATAGAAGGTCTGTTGCAAAGGAGGCTTGCATCTTCAAAGGCACATGGATACTCAAGTTCCATTTTAAAACAAATTTCCTGGAATATCTGCCATGTGTTACCATTGATTTCACTGGAAACTGAAACCAAGCCTTCTTGTATTAATGGAAAACAGAAGACAGAGAATTGTTTCCTTAAAAACGGCTTCCCAAACTGTCTATTACAGAAACCTATGATCAGTAATTGGCTTTTGAAGGGAAATATACCTGTTTGCTGTTCTCAGAACAAGTTTTTCCAAATTAAGACTGGTTTAACTGCAAAAACAAACAAACAAGCAAGCAAAACCCCAAAGCTAAGAAAGTACCCATTGGCATGAAGACTGCTTTCTGAATTTTGGAAATTCATAAACCCGTGCAAATCTAAGGGATTTGAAATCTTACATTGTACAGTCAATGCATAATTTTCTATGATCTAGGTAAAATTATAGGTAATAGCAGAAAAGCTTGTATTTATTTGATCTTCATTGGAATAATCTTGTCATTGTTTTGATGTACTTTTCTGTAAAAATGTGTTGACAGAAAATGAAAAGAATGATTTCCTAGTTGAAAGATGACAAACCTTAAATAGTTTAAATCTTATGCTAATAGAAAGCATTTAGAATAAAGCTCAAGCTAATTTTAAGAAAAAGAATCATCTAGAGTTAACTGTTTGTAGCAGTCCTATTCATGTCACCTGAGTTCACTGGATTAATATTTACTGTGTGGATGTGCCCATGTAAAGCCAGTTCACTGACATTCTTTGCTGTTATGGCTTCAACAGGAATATTCCAGCTCTTCAGTGCAATCTGGCAGGTACTGGAGAGACATAAATAAAGAATAGAGAGATGGTGCCCTCCAAAGTTTTTGTTTTATTGCTTAGGTCTAATGTCCAAAATATCCAGGGTTATCTGATGCTGAAAGGTTATCAAGAGGAATGGCTGTATGCTATTCAGAAAAAAAGACTATTTATTTTCCTCATTTCTACTTAAGTTTTCACCTAGAAAATTTTACAATTCTCTATTTTTTTTCCCTTTGTATTTTAACGCATTCTCAAGATTTTGGGTGTAGTAAGAGAAGGAAGTGTGAATGGGAAAAAAAGCTGTTTGTACAGTTTGCAGTTTTCTGTTCAAAAATATGCATAAACTAAAAGCTCCCTAAGCTTTCTTCCGATTAGTCTGTGTCACAGTAGGGGAGAGAAAAGATTTAAAAGTATATCTGTATTTTTATTGCTGAGATATTACTGCTAACTGATAAACTGTTAAGAGTTTAGCTTTTTTCTATTAGATGAACCCAAAGTATCTGAGGATTCTGATGTCAGTTTCAGTGTTTGATCAGAACTTGTAGCTGTAGACAAAATCTCCTTATAGTAGAAGTACAAGAGTTGTTTTAAATTCATAACTGCTGAGATTTGTTCATAAATTTTAGAAGTTAGCCAGCAGATCAAAAACACGTAGCTATAAGAATCTATGGCCTTATTTTTAACAAACAGGACAGAGCTTGTAGAATCAAGGATATTATGCATTTTTATTTATTTTTTTAATTTTACAAATGCAGATGCAGATATGTATGCTACAGGTAACTTACATTAAAAAAATGCAATTATTTTTTTTTAAACAAATTATGAAGTTAGAATGACGGTTTCAGGGTGTTCATGCTTTTCATGAACTGTTTTTCTATGAAGACATCTATAAAAAAGACATTTTGCCAGCAGATGTCTCTCTTTCTGCACTGACAGACTGAACTTAATCTAACTAATCTTCAGCACGATTTTTATTTGTTTCTTGGGGATCAGGTAAGGAGAACAGAAAGCAAATATAAGAGTGACTCTAGCTCAAATGTCAGTATGTCAATATTTTTTACTACTTATGAGGAAAATTTGAAACCATTTCTCGAATAATCATGTCACATTATCACATGATTATTATCATGTGACATGATTATTTTAGGGTGTTTTTATTGACCTGAAATTGCTAGTAGTTGAATTTGAAGTAGATCATAATGTTTGTTTATTCATCCCAATTGATTCTGATGGTGTGTCTTATCATTACTATTAGGCTTCATTTCTCTTTGAAAGATGATGAAGTAAACAATCAGTTCATCTTGGATCTTGCTGTTTACAGGTCAAACTTATTATTATTTATTTATTATTTTATTTTTCCATTTCATTTTTACCATTCGTAAGTTCTAATACACAGAACTCCAAATATACTCCTTTTTGTAATGGGAATTTCAAGAGGAAAACAAATAATACAGGAGGTTATAGAATCAATCTTGAAGCCTCTGTCAAAGAAGTGGAACTGTGTAACTCAAAGACCCTTCAGATTGATTGAATGAGCTTTGTGTCTTAGTAGCCTTCTTTTGAATTGATGTCTTCTCCAGTCTACAGACACGTTTCCTCCGCACTTGTCTGTTTATACTTATGTAAAATCCTTTCCATTCATTCATTGGCAGAATAGAATTGTAATAAATGGGAGTTTTTGTCCATTGTCTGGCCCTAGAAGGACTCCAGTACAGTTCAGGATCTTCTAGTTAAATTCTTCTTGAAACAAGATAAGATAGCCTTCTTCCATAGTGCTTATTGGAAAGAGTCCATGGTTTATGCTATTCCCTAAACTATGACAGAGTATTCTCTGGAAGAAATTTGTCTGAAACAGACCAAAATATGAGACAGAAACCTTATAACTCTTTTATTGTATATACTACTAAGTACTTTAGCAGATTTACTTGTGGCTTTACTTATGGGTCAAAAAGGGATTTGAAAGCCACAAGATTATTTACCCCTAATTGGAACTTGTTAGACTTTATATTAGAATTCACATCAGTTCTTCCCTTTAAGCTTATTAATTTTCTTTAGAACAAGCCCACTCAATTTTTTTTCTGAATTATAAGAATTAGATTTTTTGGAGCCTTAAAAATTCTGTTCTCATGCAATAATATGTTGGATATTGTGTAATAGTCTGTAAGAAATGAAAACTGAAATGTTTGAAAATCTCACCTTAGAAGTAATATTATAAATGAAGGGAAATAGGAAATATGTTCTCATACTTTCACTAGCTGGCAGCAGGAACAAGAGTATACTTCACATGATGAAGAGCAGATGTTAGATTGGAGCTTCTACAGATCACAATCTTTGATTGCCAGTACTGAAATGTAAAAAATACTGTTTTTTGGGAATATAAATATTTATTTTCAATTGATATAAAAAAGGTCACATTATTAAAAATTTACTAGCTAACAATAGTAGCAGAATACTTCTACAATTTTAAATGGCAAGTAAGCAAATTGTCATATTAATGTAAAGCAGTATACTAGTAAAAAAAACACACACAAAAAAACTTTTCACATTTCACAAAGATTTTGAAACACTGGAGTTATACAATAGCTGTACTGAAATACTGACGTGGCATTGGCAGAATTAGGCATTATTTTATTTGATGTTCTGTGAACACACATAGGAAGATCATATTTTTCTTCCAAAAACCATTCCACTAAATCTAAGTAATATTTCATTTAACTTAATAAGTAAAATTGAATTTTGTAGTTTACAAACTGTCAAGTTATTACTAAAGAGTTAAATAATCTGAAGAATTTATTTACTGAATTGTATTGCAAAATTTATTAATTTATATAAATTTCATTTTGAAGACATCTGGACACTTCTCTGATTGATATTGATGTCCAGCCAACTTACATACGAGTACTGGTGAAAGGAAAGGTTAGTTTTTTTCCTATTAAATTCATGTCAGATCGATGCTTAGTTTTTACAGTGCTATTCAGTGTACTCTGTACCTGACTTACAGTAATTATCAACTTGTGTGCACATAGGCAGAAAAACCACTCTTTCATAACTGCATTATTTTGAACCACATATAAACTGTGGAAATCCTAACCAGAAGAGGTGCAAAGCCTGAAATGAAATTTCATTCTCTCTTTCACTCCTTCTCACTTTTTATTCCCATTATAGTGTATCATAAATCACTTAAGAGAGCTTATTAGTTGCCCTAGGCTACTATTTAGCAGTTTCACAATCTGGAATTTATAGCTGACGGAAACAAATGGATGTGTATTCCTTTGAAAGAGTAAAACGTCATTTTACTTTTCTCCCTTCTCAGTGGTTGTATTTTTATCATCAGTTTTTTTGAAAAAATTGAAACATTTAATAGTAAACTAAAGTCCATATTTATGACTTTACCAACTGCATAAATAAAATTTCAGAATTAATTTAAATCTAAAATAGACTAGATAAGCTTTCTCATTTAATTGCTAATGTAAGTCAAGCATCGTCTTACAACATTTTTTAGAAATGTCACTTCAGAAATGACAGCAATTCAGGTATATACATATAGCTATTCTTGTTAGTAAAGGCTGTTTAGCATGTTAATCGTGCATTAGGATTAGTAATACTATATTTAAAGTGAGAGGATTTAGACATAGACTGCTATAAAGATCAAAGAATATGATAGTTATGCTTATGTGTGTGTGTTCTATCCAGGTTAAAAATAAAAATAAAAAAATTAGCATGATATACTTCAACTCTGTGTTTTCTCACAGACGTTCCAACTAGTGCTCCCAGAGGAAGTGAAGCCAGATAGCAGCTCTGCTAAAAGATCACAAACAACTGGTCATTTAGTTGTCAGCATGCCAAAGGTATGTAAAATAATCTGAGGAGGCATCACAGAAAGATATTTAAAATGTTGTCAGTACATTGGGAATGTTTCTGAGTTAAAGGTAATAACTAGCTAGCTAAAGTTATTCAGGATATATTCCCCAAACAAGGAACATTCCAGAATGATGATTTAATCATAGAGCCAAAAAGTCTGATTTAGAATTATTTTAAAGAACTCTTAAGGAAATCAATATTAATAGAACTTTTTTCCTGTATTTTCAACAGATACAGCTTTTTATATGTGAAAATATCCTCTGCAAAATCTGTCATGTTCTGAAGCCATGTATGAAGATGTGTTTATAATAGAACTGAAAATAAGAAGCTTTTTTGTCCAAATGAATTTTTCAAAATTCGTGTGGCCCACCATATGTGTGAAAATTACATTTTTGGGATACAAATCCTTGTCAAATGCTTTCTATCCATACAAATCATATTAATATGAAAAGAATGTATTCTGGGAAGTAATATAATGACTAAAGTTTGGGAGTAACTGTAAGGCCAATACAAGCTTATCTTCCAGAACTTTATGGTTGAAGATATCAACAATATTTGATAGCACTATTTTTTTTATCACAAACTTGATATTAATTTGTTATTTCAAGATGAGAGGAAGGACAGTTCATGCCGCTTTTTCGGTTTGTATCAGTGATAAGAAAAATCTAATGACTATATTGCACTGTATTTAAAATTTCTGTTCCTGATAAATAATTATTCTCAAAATAAAATTATTTGTAACTAGATAAAAGAGCTAGCACATTCCATAGGTAACTGAAATTTTTAAAATCCTATTAAACTAGAAAGTAGACTTACACAGAAGGCTTTTTGCAAAACTATCCAGAAAAGATCTCTAACAGAATGCTAACTGTGTTTTTTTCTTGCTTTAGTGAGTTTCTGAGTAGGTTGCTAAACATCTCACTGTACATCTTCCAGCCTGTTCATCATATTTTCCCAGCCTTTAAAATGAAAAGTAAAATCTCTCTACTTGACTCTCCAATGGCCTTGCCATTCCATAGATATTATAGATAGTAAATTCCACATAAAGCAGAAGTAAGTAAATCATTTTCACATTGTTTCCTGGAAACACTTTTCTTAAATGTACTATTTATCATAAAGCAAACCAATGCAGAATGGGTGTCAGAAGTTTCTAAGGCACTCCCTACAAAGTCTTTGGGTGATTGTCGAGACAAAGGCAGAGGACACAACATTCAATGAATTGTTATAGTGACACTTTTCAAGTGTGATGTTTATTCTGTAATGATCTTAAGTGTCTGTACAGATTTTGCATGAGCAAGGAGTTGATACATGTATATTGTACATGCTTTGTTTTCAGGTAAAAATATTTGTGACGTGCAGTTTTTTAACCTTTGAACCTCTATATTCAGTGTCATCATTGCAAATGATTCAGGAAAGATAAAAAGTGAGAGTTTCTTGGTTAACTTTAACCAAAAATGACATATCAATTTTGTAAAATGCCATCATTAGATTATACCAGTGTCACGTTAATTACTGTTTGTGAACAATAACAGAGATCAGTATTATTAGCAAACATTTTTTTTTATTCAGGGTTCTGATACATTCTGTATCATGTTTCATGTTTTAAAACCTAGCTTTCCTTATGTCAGTAAAGCAAAGGGAAAACTTCGATTTTTTGTTTAACTCTTCATTGTATAAGCAATAACGTAGGCATTCAAAAGCATTCAGAAACTTAAAGGTCATTGAGAGTTAGTTACCTTAATATGAAAATAGAAGGATATATATCACACATGTCAGTGTAAGAATTATCTGATGAAATTTCACAAAATTATCACTCAGCTCGGTGTGGAAAATGTAGTAATATTTCATTGCCATCCAGTGCGTATGGAGACATATAGCTGTGGAACCCTACAAATCATTTCTTCCTTCAGAATAAATGTGTTTCAGATGAACTCTATTACTCAACGGAATTCACATTGCAGGAAAAGAAAGCCACTGTAGGAAAAAACTGTAGGCTGAAAAGATGACTCAGCTTAAAAATATTGTTTTCACAAATTCCTTCTCTTTTCTAAAATATATGCCAGATTCTGTTTAACATATCCATTTTTAGAGTTATCTGCTAATGTTCTTAAAAGACCTCTCTTTTCTGGTTTCTGAACATTCTAAATATTAACAACAGTTTCATAGAACTACTTCCAGAAAGCTTCACTATATTCACTTAGACTTTCTTCCTTATCACAGATTTCAAATTCCAGTCATTTAACTTTCTCCTGAGCCCAAAGTCTTACATTTAGCCAAAGTTTAACCTGTCAGTTCTGTTTTCTATATTAGTTAAGCTCACTTTCTTAACTTCTCTGAGAGATCAACATTTCATCACTGTCCTGGTGAACCTCACATACCACAGTTGTATATTGTTTCAAAACAAACGAAAAGAAATTAGACAATATCACCTAATTTTTTTCTTGACATCTTTTGAGCAAGAGAGCTTTTGAGTAAAAAAAAGGATGATAAAGTACACAAATCCTAACCCTTCTCTTAGTTGACAAACCTTTGAAAAAATTTTATTCTGTTGATTGCAGGACCAGTGATTTTTCTTACTTTCCTTGACAATGTATTCAGTGGGTGAGGTAAGGAGCATTAGTGTCAGGGTGATCAAAGGAATGCACATTAGGGCCCCCCATGAAGTGAGGCAAGGTTCAAAGAAAAAGGCTTTACTTCACCAGAGTATATACAGAATCAGAAGGGATCAGCCTCTTGGCAGTGCATTTCAGAAATGAATTATAGGAGCTACAGAATTATAAATCTGTCTCACTTCTTATACAGTTTGGAGCAAAGACTTTAAGAGATCTGGAAGAGAATACTTTCAAGTCAATTTTACTACAAAATACTAGATAAAATGAACTATTTGTTTTAGTTCTTTTATAGTTCTGTTATGTTCCTGTTCTCCTCCTTCCTTTCAACTGCTTAAGGGATTCTTCTCCCTGTTGTTATGTTGTTATGAAAGAAAAGACAGATGTTTTCGCCATGAGAAATGAAATATGTTCCTTCAAAAAAATGGTGATGGACATGTTTTCTTTGAGAAAGGGAATTCACTTAGGCTTCAATCTTGAAATTCATTATGGTAAAGTTGCTGAAAGACTTTGTAGTCGCTTCTCCTTTTCATTAATAGTGAGAAGTCCAGAATGCAGCAGATGCTTTAATAAAAATGTCTGAACTAACATAGACATTAAGACTCGAGTACAAGAGAAGACACATCAAGAAAAAGCTCATTAGCTACAGAGAAAATCAATGTGCATTATTAACATGGTACTAAACAAGACAACATATACTTAATATATATATGCTTTAAAAATACATATACTCATATATATATTTGAATATGATTCCATTTAAATCATTTGGTTAAATGGCCTTATACACGTTTCATCCTGAGTGAAGAGTTTTAAAAGCTAACAGAAAGACAAAATGTCACAAGATAAAATTTATTCACATCCTCTTACTGCTTCAATTTTTGACAGATAATTTAAATGCTTTTGAGCATAAATATCAACTTTTGTTGGACTTATTTTTCTGTCTATTTTTATTTTAGGCTAAAGAAATAATCCTGGCTAAGCAAAAATTATCAACTTCAGTAAAACCTTCTGACAGCAACACGATGTACAAAAAAAGTACGAGGTAATTCCTTTTTTTCTTTCCCATTAATTTTAATTTTTGTACATTAGTTATTCAATTGCCAGAGTATTTGCTTCCTATTGAGTATCTTGTTGTTAAAAGTACGAAAATATTGATTTGTATAGATTACAACACTGTATAAAAACCTTAGACTAATAGCCTGTCTGGTGCCGTTTTTAAAATGGTCTGCTCCAATAGCAGAGCCAAAAAAGCACTTATTTCTGCAGATCAGTTTTGTTCTATCAACTCATTCAAATTATTGAAATAGTGCACGCTAAAACTATACCACCTACTGGGAGTTGTCTCTGCAGAACTTCTAGCTGTGTAGCCTCTCAAAACCATTTAGAGAAAAAAAACAGGTTTTGAATCTTTCTCATGAATGTATTTGCTCACTGATAGAGTGTACGTGTTGAGCTACTGCACTAAGTAGCTTCAAAAAGCAATTCTGCAAGGTTTTTGTTTTCCTTGGGTGCATTAAAAAGAACACTCCCCCTCTCCTCTGCCCTGGTGGAGCCACAACTGAAGCACCGTGTCCAGTTCTGGGCTCCTCAGTTCAAGAAAGACTGAGATTTCCTAGAGAGTCCAACTAATGCATCAGTCTGGTTCAATGGCAGTGGCTGCAATTCTTGGTGAGGTCTCAAAATGTTCATCAGAAATTTTTGATGAAATTTTCCTCCTCCTGTACTGCATCCTTGAAAACAGTTGTTAGCAAATGTGTGAATTGCCAAAAAGGGATGATATGAATAAGGCGTGACTGTGAAGTGAGGAAATGTTTTTCTCTGGTAAAATAGGGTTTGTAAAAGTAAAGGGACACAGTCAGTTTTTTGAGTTGAATGTCTGGACTGTGTTTGGCTAATGAATGAAAACGCATACAATTATTTGCCATAACTTGTGCTGGCACTGCACTGTACCCTCCCTGTGCCCTGGCTGCAGTTCAGGCAGTGTTAATAGCACACCTACATTTGGCTGTTGCTGAGCAATGGGTTGCTTCCAGTGTTGAGCTGGATGGCTTGGTGTGGCACAGCCACCTCATGGGACACGGGTTGGATATGCCTGGACTACATGATCTCCAGAGGTCCCTTCCAGCCCCTGTGATTCTGTGGTGCCATAAACTCCACCTCTTAAACTCTTTCAGACAGCAGTTAATGACTGCTGGAAGCAAGTATAAGGGATATGCTATGATTTTTTCTCTTATCATGTGTTAATAGCCATTAAAGCAGATAGACACAGGGGTTGATGGCCACATGGCCTTACTAAATACAGATGCTTTGATATATCTTAATATATTTTGCTTTTCATCTTGTTGCAGGCAACAATATTCATACTGTTGTGAGATATGATAACTGCAAAGTTTGTTAAGCAGCTTATTTGTACCAAAAGTGTTATATTTCCTTGTTTGGTTTTGTTGTGGTACACGTTGATAGAAAGGCTAAGCAGACAGCAAAGGTTAGCATTATGGATCATGTCTGTTCTTGGTCTCAGTATTTAGGATGCTGGCCAAATGGCACTGCAAGTGTCTCTCATGTCGTTTTTTCTGGTTTTTGCTTCTTCTTTCAATAAGGATTGTTTTTGTCTTCTTTTCTTGTCTGGCCTGCCTAGTGAAAAGACACTAAGATGACTGCAAGAATTTGTTGACATTCCAAATGAGACACAACCACTGTACCCTTTCCTTAGGCAGCAGTGTTTACAACTGTTCATCTTCTTAATTACTGGGTATTGCAGGCCAGACGATGGGCATTTGGTACACAAAAGCAATGTTTTTTTTCCAGCAGAAGCAGAAGATACAGCCTTAAGAAATCACTTAAAAGAAATGTATTAACTTTTCTCTAGGAGAAAATCAGATCTTCCTACTTTAGATACATGATCTCCTAAATGGATTCTTCCAAACAGCAAAAGAGCTGGCAACTAGTGGGCTGGTAACATATATTTCCTTAGAACACTCTGAAAGGAAGTGACTGAACACTAATAATGAAGCAGGCCCCTTTTACAGCCAAGTAGAGAACTAAAGGTACTCCATGGCAAAGTGCAAGGAGTTGTTAGATTTCAGTCCACTTTTAAGTAATTATTAAAATATTTCCTGAAGATCTTGAAGGAAAAAACACAATTTTTATTGTTAAAATGTTTCAGGAATACGAATCACAAAAGGAGAATTAGGAAAGAGGCATTTTGAATTACAGCTCTTTCTAAAAATACTAGGTTTTGACCTCTTAATTTGAAAAATTGCTGACTAGCCAGATGTTAAAAACTTGCTGAATAGTTGTCTCTTAGATTACAGAAGAATATTCATTACAGTGATTACACTTGACAGCTACAGATGTCTAAGCTAAATTCTGTCAGACATAATCTGCTAAACTATAATATAGTGCTTTAAATTTCTTAACTCATTATCTGTATTATATGATGATGCTCACTATTTCTGCCACATTCTATGACTGTATACAAAACTGTATTTCAGACCTTCAAAGAGAGAGGTTATTTTAGCAGGAATTTGGTTTCTTGATTTATTATACTTATAGAACATCTACTAATAAAGCATCTGCATCTGTCAGGCTTAACTGTTACTGGCATCAGAATTTATGAGGAAAAGAAGCTGAATTTGCCATTGGTACATAGGGGAAATTTATATATAGGTAGGAACTTACTTTTCTAAAGTTATACTAGAAATTTAAGAGTAACAGTTACATAAACCTGAAGACTCTTTTCCCATACACTCAGCTTTAGACTGTTCCTCCTATATCATATTGGAAAAGAAAAGAATAGAAAATGGAAAATGCCTCTAAATGTTAATATACACTGTTGCTGCTTGATCTGGAAGGCAGCTCAGCACCACTCAGCTATTCAGTCACTTCCAAGAGGAGAGAATTGGAAACAAAATAGAACTCATGGGTTGAGATAAAAGCTATTTACTAAGACAGGAACAGAAAATGAAAACAAAAAATGCATTCTAATTTGAATCCTTGAAAGTAAGTGTGGAACTACTGTCCACAAATTTAATGGCTGAGATCTCTCCCAGCATATTTCTGCAATTTGCAAAAAGAGTTGTGACAAGTTGGAAAGGAGAGAATTTAATGTTGCAGAGAGGAATACCATAGAACAAAATGACTAATTTCCAAACAGGAAAGGTGAAGTAAGATGAGGTTAGAAGTTTTGTGAAGCTGTAGACAAATTAACCTGAAGGAACTGCAGACAGATTTATGCAGTTTTTCAAAACCCAAATTCACCTCCATTTCTTCTCCTAAACCAAGAATGAACATTTTAACTAAAAGACAGGTAAGTGCAACTGAAATGTGGCATACACAGAAGATGAATGCGTGTGGAAAGATCACAATTGGCAAATCAGTTATCAGTTCTACTGAGATGTCATGAGTGCCTTCTACAAAGACCTAGGAGTTGATCACAGATCTGGACAGTTGAATGGATTTGCAAAAATAGTCTTTTCAGACTACATAGTTTGATATCTTTTATGAATATACTAAGAATTTCTGCTCTCAAAGCAAGTTACATTGTCTGAAATAGGAGAAAACAGAAGTAGTAGTTCAACTGACTTTTTAAACAGAAAGTAGATCAGTTCTGACTAAGAAACATTTTTAAAAGGCTTTTTTTCACTGTTAAGCATAAAGTGTGGATTGAATTGCATTCTCATGGATGCCCGGATGCCATGGATGCCAGTGTTTTTCATAGAATCACAGAATGGCCAAGGTTGAAAAGGACCATAATGATCATCTAGTTTGAACGCCCCTGCTATGAGCATTATTTATATAACATTTCAGTCCTTTGTAAGTGAGGTCTTAACAGTTTGTTAGGATGAAGTGTTTTCAATGTAAGCTTCCCTGATGTTTAAACAGGACTCAATGCTTTTAATTTTTCTGGGATAATTAAGATGTAAAAATATGATTTAAGATGGATTTGTATATTGAACATATTGGAGCATGTTTCTTACTAACAGGCAAGGATAGTTTGATATTTGATATTGTGAAGTGACTGTGAAAAGAAAGGTAAGGGACAGAACTGTGAAGCTGAAACTTGGATGCTGATATTGGCTCTCCAGAGCTGTTGGTCATACTTCATAAATACCATTGGAAATGCTGATGCAAGAAAGGAAACTTTCAATCAAATGCCAGTGTATTTTCTGGATCATGAGTATGAGAATTCTTTGGCAATCCAAACTTTTATTGAAATTCAGAAGTTGAAACCAGAAAATGCAACTGTCAAATCATTAAAATATCATATGTTGGAATTAAGAACGGTGTGAACAAAAGTGTAAATTATAAAAAACCCCATCAAATTATCAGACTTGTGCTCTGTCACACACCAGATTGATCAGCAGACTGCTATAGTTATGCAAAATGGAAGGACTGACTGTCATTTCTTTATTGTGAAATCTTTTTTAAAGCATCTTTCAACTATATAGAAATAGAAATAACCTTTCTAAGGGAAAGAAATGCCAGGAAAAAAAAAAAAAAAACACTTAATATTATTTATTTTGCATGATGCTCTATCTGTAGTTCATCATTCTCACTTGGGTAGAGACCACTTAACAGCAGATAGCAGTGCCTGAAATTGGAATCATTTGCAAACACTGAGGCTTCTAGATATGTTGTAGTTAGTCCTGCAAGAAATGTTGTTGTCTTGATCATTATTTTACCACTGCTTATGAAAAATCATTAAGAAGAATATTTTTTACTCTCCTAAACAGAAAATCTTTGCATTCTTTCTTCCAAAATTTTTCAGATAGTTATGACATCATCAGTAGTCATACCACTTTTTCCATAGAAGTGTAATGAGAAGAGCGTATTTCCAGGAGACATGAAATGGCAGTTCTGAAATTAATGCTTCCTATTTTATTATGTTGGCCCACGACATCAGAGGCAAATGTTGGTGGTATGGCAGTAGAGGTTGAATCATCCCAGCAATATTCTGTTACATTTTGTTGCTGTGCGACAGATGGCAGCAGAGGGGCAGTCTGACAAATTAGCAACTGACATGGAAGTGCATATGAAGCAAAGGTGTGGAATTGAATTCTTTCATGCAGAAAAAATGGTACCAATTGAAATTCATTGACATATTTATGGAGACCAGACAGTGGATGTGAGCACTGTGAGTCAGTGGGTGATGATTGTTTAGCTGATGAAAATGCACAGCTAATGGTGGTGACTATGTGGAAAAATAGTATTTTGAAGCTGAGAGATTGCTCTGTCAAATAGTGTTACTGTGCTCTTTGTATCTGTTGTAGTTTCCATGGAAATAAATAGGAAACAGTAATTTCAGAGTGATTTGTGTATCTGTGACTGTCATATATATGCACTGACTTCAGCATAATTAAGGCTTGTCATCATCCAAACATTTCTTTTATGATAGCTGAGGGAGTAACATGAGCTGTACTAAAGAAGTACAGAATATCTGACCTGTGATGATTCTCAGTCTTTCCTATTGTCCTTGCTAAAAGATAATCCTAGATAACATTTGCTGATTGAATTTTGAGAATGACTGGTGACTAGCTTGTTGATGTGGACTGTTACCTATGATACAGCTAATTATTTTTTGGTGTATTGAAGTTTATTCATCTACTACGCAATGAATTATTCAAAATCCATAGTGTTGATTGTATTTTCATGACTAGCAATTTGTACAATTTTAGAACAAATGTAAATTACCAATAATAATTAAAATACGTCAAATCAAGGTAAATCTTTCTACCATGTGAGTGAAGTACATGCTGAGGCTGATTAAATTTAATATTTATGCTTTTTTACTTTTTTTCTGAAATGCTTAAAATTAGTGACTAGTCATTAGTGATTATTTTAATTTTCCAGACAGGGTGTGTTCTTTTTAGAATCCCCCAGTGGCTACTTATAAAATCCTTCAAAGTGACAGAACTTTTCACAATTCACAGAGGAAACAGAAATGTTTCTTAACTCTAAGGAATGAACATTTTCTGGAATGTTGCCACAAAATGAATCCACTTTTGTGTCATTAAACTGTTTAGTTTAATTAAAAATGTAGCCTCATAAGTGGAAGAACATTCAGAGTAAAGAAATAACAATTTTCTTGTATCTTTCCTTGTAACACATTTTCTCAGTGGCTTTTGTTTTCATTGCTTGTGGGAAAAGGTTATTCTGATTATTAAAATGTAGGCTTCTCTGGACATTTCCTGCTCAGCAAAATGAGCAAAAAAATTCCCTTAGAAGAAGAAAATTCTAGTGGCATAATGCTGAAAGAGGTGGCTAATCTGACTACTACCTCTTCTATTAGTTGTGTTTTCCTTGGCCCTAGCATAAGTGAAGAAACCTGCCTCTTCATTTCTCCATAACTTGGGCAGGGATCTGACACAGGCATGATCTGGGAGACTAATGAAGAAGCACGGGCAGACTTTGGAAGCTTCTTCACAAAACTCTCGCTTTTTAAAAACTAAAGGTGGTGTATTTCGAATTAAAAATCTTTTTATATACTTTATTTATATACTTTCATTACCTAATTTGTCATCAAAGCAATGCATTTTTTTAACCAGTAAGTCTGCTACATTTTCCTTTGTTCTAGTCTTAATAAACCTTTCTGATCTCCTGGGTAAACAAGGAGTTTTTGCACACCTTGTAGAGTAATGTAATGTACTGTCTTTTGTAATATTTAGCTTGGAACTTTGACCCAAAGTAGTTCTTAGTATAATAGTAAAATTAGTACGAAGACAAACAAATCATGCTGGAATTTTCAGACATTTATATCATCATACAATGAAATTCCCATTTTGCCTTTTTTTTTTTTTTTAAACAGGCTAGAATTTTTCTGTTTAAGCATTTTAGCTCCTCTATTAGAAAATAAACAAACAACAACAGCAAATGAATTGCTTTAAATGCTGCAAGACAAAGTATATTTCAAGTCCTTGATCCTCATGTAGTGTTGTTTGGTTGCCTTACTGAGTGGACTGTCCACATCTGCAAATATAATCTAAAAGAATTTCCTTAATAGTGGTGGAATCTGAGGATTCTTTTGTACTTCTGGCCTTTCTTATACTATCTCTTGTTTTCATAATACAAACATTGCTAGTATTTCTACTAACAAAACCTACAAATTAGCTGATATAAGCACGCAAATTAGTACAGTTACATTTGCTGTCTAAATAAAGGAGTATTTCTTCTTTCCAAAGATAAATCTGTCATCCTATAATTAATAATCACCTTGTGTGATAACAATGAACAGAAGAATGAAGGAACAATTATGCTTGTAAAATCCTGTCTTACATCAGAAGCCAAGCACTTATCATATGACACCAGCAATCTTCATGTCCTGATATTAGACAAATTATAGATGCCAAAAAATTAACTATCAGTGTTTATTTTTGTAAGATAGAGATTCTGTTGTAAAAAATAGTGAAGATTTAGTTGTACTTTTGTAGTACTCATTGTTTACACTGAGTTTTTGTAACAACCAATTTTCGGGTAATGAGGACTTTTAATCCTCATTTAATTGGGCTCAGTAACAATTCTCGCAATGAAGTCAATGAGTTTAATAACAAGTATCCAAAACAGTGCTGTTATATTTGACACTGAAATAAAGTTGTTGTTTTTTTTTTCATTTGTTTCCCTCTTGTTTCAGAAGCAGAACAGTTGAGAAATTAGAAGTGGATCCTAAGAAATATTCATTCCCAGACGTGACAAAGATTATCCCAGAAAAGGAACGAATTGGACGAGGACCTATTAAGCTACAGCCAGAGATTACAGAAACAATGAAAAGCAATGTTGATTTTGAAAATAATGAAGAAGTACCTCCCTTAATTTGAAACATTCTTTATTAGTCTCTCTGTTTGTAGTCTGTATACCTGAGTTGTTTTCATGATCCTATTTGTAGAGTAAGTATTATCTGGCTGAAGTTGGAAATGTCATTACAGTTCTTACTATAAACCTTGTTATGCCTCTGTATTCCGGTGTATTTTCTGTAAGTATATTGCTTATATAATTTTTTTCTTTTCTAGGTTGTTTATTCTGTAAAGCCCAAATGAGAATGGGGGTCAAAGAATCACATATTGTCAGGCTTTTTTTTTCCAAAGAATTACTGTTTAGCTTAAAAGGGCAACAAGGCTTGCGAAGGACTTGGAGAATATGCCCTACAAAGAGAGGCTGAAGGAACTGGGGCTGCTTAGTCTGGGGAAAAGGAGGCTGAGGGGAGACCTTATTGCTCTCTTCCAATAGCTGAAAGGTGCTGACAGCAAGAGTGGGGCTGGTCTCTTCTCACTGGTGAAAGGACAAGGGGAAATGGCCTCAAATTGTGCCAGGGTAAGTTTAGGTTGGATATCAGGAAAAACTTCTTTACAGAAAGGACTGTTAAGCACTGGAATAGGCTCCCCAGGGAAGGTTGAGTCACCATCCCTGGATGTGTTTAAAAAACATTTCAATGTGGTGCTCAGGGACATGATTTAGCAGAGGGTTATTAGAGTTAAGGTAATATGGTTTGGTTGTGGTTGGACTCAGTGATCTTTAAGGTCTTTTCTGACCTGAGCAATTCTATGATTCTATGGCTTTTTATTGAAAAAGAAAAGAGAAGGAAGGAAAAACAAGACAAGAATTTTGTTTATTCTGGCTGAACTGAAGGTAATAGAAAAATCTGTGTATTCTTCCAGTGCTTTCATTTTCATGGCACTAAAAGAATGTATATCAGTGATGTATTCTGGGAGTGAGAGACATTGCTTTACTCTGCCATACATGAATTTTCCAGCATAATACAGAGCTCCTACATTCTGGAGTTGGTATACTAGTGCCACTCCTTGAAAATGTTGGAAGAGAAGGTATCTCAGACACATGGCACTGTGGGGGAGATGAGAGAAAACAGTAAGATTTCTTGTTCCTCTAAATGCAGCTGCTCTGAACTGTTCCAGATTTTTCAGGAAGGCACCCTTTAAAATATCAAGGCTAATTTTTAGCTCTTGTTAGCATTGAGATGAAATAAGACTGTGAAGCAGGAATGAGATGAGCTTCTACTTCCCTAATTTTTAGCCCATTTTTAGCAGCCACAGACTCTGCTATCGTATTTTTCCATCAGCTTCTGAATTGCCCTGGAAGTGAAACAAGTGGCATCAAAGAACAAATGTATTTTGAATTACCATTTCGTAACTGAAAATTATTGCAGTTAAGTAAGAACAAATTTCCTTTTTCCCTTTCTATTTTCCCAAGAAAACAAGGTTCATGTCATTCTTATCTCAGTTCTGCTTTCAAAAGTAATTTTGGTTATTTTTACCCTGTTTGACAGAAAAGAAGAATCCCAGAAATATTCAGCTCCTCTGAAGTTAGTAAAAATGGCCACTGGGAAGAGAGTACTTAGGTATTACTAACTCTGTTAGTAGCCACTCAGCTAATCACGATGTCAGTAGCTCTTTGGACATGTTGACACTCTTGCTTGGGTGGTAGTTAGAGAAAGTAGGAGTCGTGATGATGGGGCTTTGGAAACCTGAGGGGAAGCTGATGGGTGTAGGACATATTTACTAAATTAGCTTAGACCTTGAGTTACTATGGAAAGAGATGTTAGATATTGAGTAGACAAAGGAATTTTGCGGAAGGAGGGTCACAGCAAGTATTTCAAGGTTGGGTTGTTGGTGAAATGTGAGAAATACATGGGGGATATATGACATCAAATCAGAGGAAACCGAGCCTCATTAACTCTGTTGTCTATAAAACAATTGATTTCAGGATGTATGTGCCTGAATGCCTCAATGCCTCTTTTGACCTTTTACTAGGGGAACAAGCATTTAATCAACTTTTTTTTTTTTTTTTTTTTTAAAGACCAACTTAAAACTGAGAAATAAAACAAACAAACAAACAAAAAAAAGCAAAACAAAGAAACAAAAATACACAAAGAGAAACTCCAACCAAAAAAAAAAAAAATTAAGTGACCTACATTACCTTACTAATTAATTTGAAACTGTTTCTCTGTAAAGGAAGACTTCTTTGGCCCTGCAGAAAGAAAATGCTTCTGATTCAAAACAGCTTTTACTTCTAGCCAAATGGGATGCAGCAAGCAAATTAAATTCAGGAAGTGTCAAAGGGTATTTTGTGGTTAGATTTTATTTTTGTCTTTAGGATAGAAAATTAATAAGATGTATTTGTAACCAAACCACTAAAATGCCACTTAAAGTATGTTGTTATATAGCAATCTAGGTTCATGTCGTATCTGTAATAATGATCAATGCATTTCATGATATATTCTTTGAAAGTGGCCTCTCTTTACTTAGAAAAACATAATGCAAAAAAATGCAGTGGTTGGAAAGAAAACATTACAATTGAATTTTGCCTTTTTTAGCCTCTCTGAAATGCTTTATGGTTCTTCATAGATGTTTAATGGAAGATAAAGATGAATAGTCTTTTTTTAAAATGTACTGGAGAGAAATAGAATATATCCATCGACTCAGGCTGATGGGTTGAACTGATGCATTTTCTTCAGTTGCAACCTGAGAAGGTTAAAAAAAACCTGAGTTTCATACTAGCTCTGCATTCACAGTGAGATGAAAAGAAAATGTATATATCACAAAGATATTCGCCAAAGTTGGATTTGGACAGACTTGATCTATTATAGTATCATCTTGGATTATTCTTCTCCCATCTTGTAAACTGACTTGATTTTTCCAATTCCTGAGAAAATTCATTCATGAAGTAAGCCTCTCAGCCCTGAAATCTACTTAATTAGCTATACCTTGCTAACTGGAGTACTAAATGCTGGTGCTATCTTGTGCAAATGTGTATGTGTAGTAGGAGAACAGACAAGTATAATAGAATTCTCAGCAGTCTGATAGGCAATTTATCTTTTGATTTCTTTCAAATCTACTCTCTTTTCTGTGTGTAAAGGTATGAATTTTGCTGACCTTGGGATGAGTGAGGAAGAGAAGCTCCACAACCACTTTGTGGACAGAAAACAGTTGATTTTGGCAGCAGATCCAAAAATGTATTCCTTGTGGCTTTATTGATTGCTGCGGGGATTTTATGATATTCCAAGGAGTTGCTTATCTCTGAAAATCTTGTAGAGACAATCCACAATGCAGACTTTCAGCCAATGATGAGCCTTCTGAGTTTTAGGAGTCATGGAAAGCAAGCATCCATACAGCTTGTTCATATAAGATCATTTCATTTTTCCTAAGGAAAATTTGACCTTTGCTGTCAAACCAAAGGATAACAGATTTAGATTTTTTTCCCATTCAAACTTAGTTCTCTTTCATCTGGTTTCTAGTGGATAAATAATATTGTTTCAGGGAAAAAAAAAAAAAATTATATTCAACTTACATTCAACTTCAGTTACATCTGCTAGGAAAGGTAATAGCAGGTACCAAACGTAACTAAAAATAAAAACAGTGAATTCTTACATATAGGTTGCCATAATCTTGGTATCCAGTCTGAAAATGAGATGTTTTCTGAGAATCAGCCTTGGTGAAAGTTTCAGTGTGTGTATGGGCCGTGGAGAATGCAGGCAGCAGGTGACAGTAGAGGAAAGCATGCAAGCAGAAGATGAGGCCTGTCACACAGTACACAATAAACACACATCATGAAGTATCAGCTACTGATCACTAGGGTAATGTAACCTAGAGAAAAGAACATACAAGAATCTTCAAAACCACAGAATGGGATGCAAGTTTTGGATTTACGAAGTCAGAAGAGAGTTTTGTTGGTGCACAGGACATTAGCCTATTTCTGTTAGATGCCTTTAGAAGAAAACATAGGAAGAAGTGGCCATAGGAATTTGCAATAGAGATCAGAAGTATTTGCAGGGCTAACACAGACATAATATCCATGTACTGCATGGAGCTTGTTGAAAAGCATCTTTTCACACAAAGATGCAATATCACATTTGTTATTGAAAACTAATAGCAGCTGCATTGATCCAACAATCTACTTTTATGTACTAACTTTGGAGACTGTTGAGCTTCGGCATGAACGCTGCACAACCATTGGATTGAGAATTTGTTTCCAACAGTTTCTCGTGTCAGTGTGCTGGAAAGAGGAGGCAAGAATGCCAAATCTTTGTTCCCAAAAATATAAGGTAGCTGGATAGCAGTTGTATGACCCATTCCCCAACCCTCCAGCAATTCCTGTAATTGTTTAGTCATAAATGATTTCATAATAGTTAAATTTCTTCTGATATAGAATCATTAGCAACAAGTCAAAGTTATTGTTCTCATTCACACCATGTTACCGATTTGGTATACAACTGTCTCTCTCCACTTCTGATACACTTGTGAAGTGTATAAGAAAAATTTTGGCAAAACTGAAAGCCAGGAAAACACCTTATAAATTATTATGGATGAAAGGCAAGACATCATTTTAGAAAATAGAGCCTACTCTGAGAGTGACAGTATGTTTTGTGTTTACACAAGCAGAAATGACCAAACAGATTATTAATAGTGTCAGAGCTATTGGTTACTAGCTCCTATTAGTTGCACAATGATGCATTGAAACCAGCCAGTATTTGGGATTATTGGGAACTGGGATCTCTCTGATGTAGGCTGTACCAACAGCTCTTGCACCAAACATCTTACAGTCAAAGCATTATTAGAGGCACATAGTACATAAGACCACAAAACTGTTTACTGTACTGTGTTCATATTTTTATGAATTAGCTGAGCTGGTTTTAAGACTTATTAACATTAGAAAGAGCATAGAAGAAATGAAAATAATATCCACTGCTGATGCAACTGTTGGACATGTTACTTCTGTTCCTTCTTTCTTTTAACATAAAGTCAGACAGATTGGACCTAGCCACTTCTGCTTTTCTGCCTAAAGCCCTTTCTCTGCCCAGGAACCTTGGCCTTAAACACCTTCAGGAATGGAACATCCATAACTTCTGAGGGCAACCTCTATCACCCTCTAAGTGAAAACTTTCCACCTAATATCTAATATAAATCTTCTCTCATGTATTATTTTATTATTAACCCTATAAATCTCATCAGGTGGTCTCAAACATGC